AATTGCAATTTTCAAATGGCTCTAGAACCAGAAGTTAACATCGCTTGACAAAAGTAAATATAGTTTTAGATAGATCTCGTTAGGAGGAACAACATTTGTGCAGGTCACAAGGTCACCAAAGGTCAAGGTAACTAGATATATGCCTTAACAGTTTTGACAATTACTGAAAAAATAAAACCGGAAATTAAAAAAAGCCAAAGTCAAAATTAAAAAATCGGCTTCCCGTGTTTTCTTAGCAATCGATTGAAGATTCTATAGACACTAACATCACACACATTGGCTTTACCCTAAGGCCCCATTTTGAGTTTTATAAAAAGTAGGCGTATCAAGATGGCGTCTGACCCTTTACCTCTGGGTCAAATTCATTCATTCCAACATCTTTATGGGGAGTACTCGAACTAATTGCAAAAATAATTTTTCAAATATCTGCAAAATTCCGGAAGTTGAAATTTCAACTTTACGAGCGAATAACGTCAAAACCGGAAGTGATATCGAAACTTTGAAAATTAATTTTAGTTTGCAATCAAAATATCTAACTATCTGTAAGTTTTCATATCGATCGAAATAAAATTGTAGAAGTTAGAAAAAAAGTGAAAAAACTCAAAAATTAAAGCTAAAAAAGTCAGCGACAAAAGTCAAAATCTAAAAAACTTTAGATTACTATCTTACAGCCATTCGCGCGAACTTATTAACAAAAAAAGATCGATCAAAATTGGAGCTGTAAATTAGCAAAAACGTAAAAAATGGATTTTGTCCTACATCATTTCCGGTTGGAAAAAAATGCATGAAAATTAAATTCATCAGATTTAGTCTCACGGCATTAACGGGAGAAATGTTAACAATATATATGTGGCATGTATAGTTTTGGCTGGGCGCTCTGACCAGAAATCGAAAAAAAAAATAGAACCGCGTTAACGGTACTGAAGCAGTGCGCATCCAACCTGATACATCGGTAACAAGTTGCATTTTAAAGTCACAATGGGATTTCTTACCGGAAAGAAAAGCATGTAAACATTCACTAGTAAAAAAAATCGTTTAAACCATTTAACGTTCGGTAGTGAAAAGACGCATGAATTTGATACCATTTTGTATTAAAAGGTGTTAACTTTTGGTAGTAAAAAGTCGAATTTTCAAATAGCTGTAAAGTTAAAAGTTCAATTCGCACAACAAAAATGAAAATATTTTTGGAAAGGTCTGGTAAAGTGCAATAACTTGTGTTACGGTCAAGAGGTCAACAAAGGTCAAATAAAAGCGATATAAGCCTTAAAAGTGTTGAAAATTGCTGTTTTGGGACGCCTGTAAAGACGGAAATATATGTTGGTCATCAAAGATAAAAGTATGAATAGATAGATCAATAACCTATGACCTTGTAAAGACCAAGGTCATGCACGTAAATGGTCAAAATATGAAAATTTTATCAATTGTTAAACCTATTTTAAAGTAAAAAGCCCAAACAAAATGTAATTCTATCACTTATTGTCCCAAATAGTGATTTATTTTTATGTAAAGTTTCGATGGTGAAAAATGCAAACTTTAAGAGTTATAACAATTTGAATTATTTATGGTAAAGGTAAAAGTAACCCTGATTTGCCACGCCCACTGTAAAAATATTGTGTTGTCTGTAATAATGTGTACAATGTCAAATAATAATCAAAATTTCAAGTCTTTACAATTATTAGATCATGAGATATTCGTAGTTAAAAGTTTTTTAAGGCAACGGTGACTGTCGGTGGATTATAGACACCGTGAATTTACGCACAGTTACAAATTTTCAATTTTTAAAACGCGCAATTTCGATCAAAATATCAAGTGTGATATATCATCAAAAAGGAGATTTCATGCACTCTAACAATATATAAGAATTATTGTCGTATGTTAATTAGGTCACTTGACAGAGCTCTTCAAATTTAAAAATCGCGATTTTCCAATGGCTGTAGAACCGGAAGTTAACGATGCACAACAAAAGTGGAGATATAATCGGATAGATCTCGTAAGAGGTCCCAACTTTTGTTCAGGTCACCAGGTCACCAAAGGTCAAAGTCACTAAATATGAGCCTTGATAGTTTTGACAATTACTGAAAACAAAAAACCGGAAATAAAAAAAATTAAAAAATCGGCTTCCCATGTTTTGTAAGCAAACGATTGCAGTTTACATAAACATCAAATTTACGCACATCCAATTTTACTCCGAGGCTCCATTTTGAGTTTTATAAAAATGAGTCATATCAAGATGGCGTCTTACCCAATACTTCCGGGTCAAATTTTTTCATTCTAAAATCTTTACGGAGACAATTATAACTCATTGCAAAAAGAACTTTTCAAGTATCTACAAAATTCCGGAAGTTGAAATTTCAAGTTTGGGGGCGACTGATGTCAAAACCCAGAAGTGATATCTAAATTTTGAAAGCAGATTTTTGTTTGCAATCAAAATGTCTATCTACATGTAAATTTTCATATTGATCGGAAAAAAATTGTGGAAGTTAAAAAATGCTCAAAATAAAATCTCCAAAAGTCAGCTACAAAAGTCAAAATTTGAAATTTCTTAAATTGCTATCTTTTAGACATTAGTTCAAAGTAATGAACAGAACAAGAATTATGATCAAAATAGATTCAGATTTAAAGCAGGTATTAGAAGACATAATAAATGATTTACGTCCTACGTCAATTCCGGTTGTGCTAAGATGCGTCATTTTACATTTAAACAATAGCGACACGCTAGATAAAAGAGATAATGGAATCGGATAACCTGTGATATGTGCAGTTTTGGCTGGGGAGCGTGACCAGAAGTAGACAAAAAAAAAATAGTCATTTCGAAAACATTTGCAAAACAATGCAGTGCGTTGCTATTAAGAGGGACAATAGATAAAAGGGTAATAACAAGTGATTAAGAGAGACAATAGATGAAAGGGTGTTAAAACAAGTGAGGTAACAATGCTAAGTCATTGAGCAGGTACTGAGCAAACATAAGCTAATGAGATATGCTGAGGAAGACACTGGGAGGAAAAATTGGGGAATGATGGGAAGAAACATGTAATGAATGGGGTGAGGGGGGAGATTAGTTAAGCCATATCTTGGAAATGTAAGGTCCATTGTCGCAGTTGATCTCTGGAAAGCGTCTCTGAATAGCTAGAGCTTCTTGAATTCCGTGTTGTTGCTTGTTGGGGAGGTTGGAATCTATGATGGATTGGTCTTGCCATTGGATTTTGTTGGGAAACTTTATGAGGTGTTCAGATAAGGCTGATTTTCCATCTTCGTTTTTGGTGGAGATGATATGTTCTTTCATTCTGGTGGAGAGGGGTCTGCATGTTTCACAAATGGCTCCACAGTTGCATGGTATTTCATATACAACCCCACTGGGGTCAGGTTTCTTGTTGGATCTAGATCTGCTGTTAGCTGCCAGCTGCCAGAAGTGATTTGATGTTGGTACCTGAGGTGAAATATGCATCTATGGATAGTTGTTGTTTTAGGAGGCGTCTTATTTTGTAGCTGGTAGGAAGGGGAGACCAATTCTGGGTAGAGGAACAGCTGGTTGTTTGGTGGTGGGTGGAACTTCTTTATCTGAGGTGATTGACTTGAGGGTATTGCGGATAATCAAGTTAGTTAGCTGAGTGGGGTAGTCATTGTTACTAGTGAACATGTCTTTCAAATGATTGATTTTGTCATTAAGGAATTCAGGGTTACAAAAGGATCTGTCTCTGCGGTTAAGGGTAGAGATTATGCAGGATTTTGTTTGTGCAGGGTGATTGGAGTTAGCATGTATGTACTGGTCGGTGTGAGTTGGTTTTCGGTAAACACGAGTCTTGAGTGTGCCCGAAGATCTCTCTATGGTGATATCAAGGAAGGGGGTGGAGAGTTAACTTTCTGTTTCGATGGTGAACTGAATGCGAATGTGAGGTGGTCTAAGAGTAGATGTTGGTCTTGATTGGGGTTAAGCATGACAAAGGTGTCGTCTACTTTCCGAAACCAACAGAGGGGTTGGGTAGGTGAGGATGCTAAAGCATCGAAAGTTGACATAATAATTTCAGTGAGTAGAGGTGACAGTGGGGATATTAAGATTATGTAGGTTACATGTTGTCTGAGTACTAGACAGAGTACAGTCGCTTGATTTTGGGAATTTGGATCATGTCTGATCTGTTTAGTTCATTCTTATGTATAACCATGTTTAGTTTATAATATAATAGTTCACTGTAGAAGTCTTCTTCTTTAATGTTCAGATAAGAACATACCATGGCGCTGCGAGCAAACTAGAAGTAATTTTAACTGAGAAATGGTGGAAATAGAAGCGATAAAGAAAAATTTGTTTTTTTGCAAACAAAGATGGTCGCGCACATATAGACAACCGGAAGTGATTTGATAAACAATAAAGTCACATTTTAATTGAACTTTTACTGAGTTAATGTACCAAAATGAGTGATACTGATGAAGAGAATACATCAGCAAAGACCATAGGACCATCAGTATCAGCCCCAGGAACGCCAGTTTTGACAGATCCAGCGATGATGTGAGGTTAAAGAAAGGCTACAACTGTTGTATTTATATTTTGTACCAGTATTAAAATTACAATTCAAAAATTAAAGTTATTTTTTTAGCACTACTGTATAACTTTTATTAAAAATACTTGATCAATAGCAAGACTTCTACATCGTAAAAAAAGTGCTATACAATTCACAAAATTTTAAACTGCTGTGCAATTTTGGTCGATAGAGCAAAAAACTGGTTTGCACATAAAAAAAAGTAATTTTGTTTTCTGTTTTCTTAGTGTTTACTTACATTATAATTACCTGTATCAAACCTATCATAATTAACAAAACAACTATGAAATTAATTTATAAAGCCTTAAAACATGTACAGTGTACTCTGTAATATCCGACATCTGAGTATTCTGACATTCTGTGTAATCCAACATCATTTTCTGGTCCCGATTAATATCCTTCTTAGGCTAGTTAAAAAGACTCTAATCAGTGGTCCCGTCACTCAGAAAAATCTGTATAATCTGACATCTACTCATCTTAATCACTTATCACCAATTATCACCTGGCTTCAAGTTCAAGGTCATTGCCTCTAGATCAAATGGCATTGGTACACTGACTAGTTGTCAGACATTTTTATATGCCACAGTAATTGGCAATAAAATAGAAGACACACAAACCATTTCACAAATTTTTTTCTGGTCTATTTTTATACGCCCACATGAAATGGGGGGTGTATATTGGCGTCACTCATGTCCATAGGTCAATTGCTCGTAAACACTCTGCAAGACACAATTCTTGACAGATTTCGATAAACCTTGTTCATAATCACCCAAGGATAAACCCTATTGAAAATCAGAAGAATCGATAAACATTTAGTATGAGTTATTGCCCTTGTTCTTGAGAAAGCTTTCAATTTACCTTGTAAACACTCTAGAAGGCACAATTCTTGACGGATATTGTTGAAACTTATCATGAGTGTTTTTTATTACCGAATGATAAACCCTATTGAAAATCAGAAGAATCGAAAAATAATTGGTATGAGTTATTGCCCATGTTCTTGGAAACATGTTCAATTTTTAGCTTTTAAATACTCTAGAAGACACAATTCTTGAATTGAATTTGAAGAAACTTGGTGAAATTGCTTATTATCACCCATTGATGAATCCTATCGAAATCATAAAAATCAAATAAGGTTTTATAGAAGTCATTGACCGCGTTCTTGAAAACGCTTTAGAATTTTAGCTCTTGAACACTTAAAGTCACGATTCTTGACGGATTTTGACAAAACTTGGTCTTATTATTCAGTATCGCCCCAAAAAGTGTATGACTGAAGGTTGAATATTTCTTACTGGTGATTGTTACTGTACTGCTAAAGATTTTTATTCAAAATCAAAGCTGCCAGTGAGCATACACTAATTTGCGCGGCAAGCTATCTTTAGTTTATCCATGTAATGTGGATACTCTATAGCACAACACATTGGTCAACATTTTTAAAATTTGCTAAAGAAAAATTAAGTATAGTGTACACTGTGATCTGACTTGCATTGTGACGGTAAAAAATGTCCGATTACAGAGTGAGTTACTCAAATTGGGGTTTTTAACATATTTTACTGTTTATAGTATAGAGCTATTTATAGCTCACTGACTGACTGATAGAAAAGAAAGACAATTCAGTTGTAACATTTACTCTTTTGATTCAGTAACAAGCACATGTCCATCTATCAACAAGGGAATCTTCTCTAGTTCAATTGATATCTTCAACAAACATTTGATTAAATTCAAAGTTTTAAAATGTAACTAAATAAACCATAACTAAATCTTCTTGTGTAGTCACAAATGAAAATCCAACAAACATCCAAAATAATATTTGATATGAGTTATTGCCCCATTTTCTCAAAAACACATTCAGTTTATCTTATGACATTTTAGAAGGGACAATTCTTAACAGAGGTCCCAAATAGTTTGAAAGAAGTGTTTGAGTGAATGTTCATTCTGGTTACTGTACTGCCAAATATTCTTATCCAAATCAAAGCTGCCAGTGGGCGTATATTACTTTGCCTGGCAAGAAATCTTTCAAGATACTAGCTTGACAGGAATGGTAACATAGGCCTATGGCAGTATTTTAGAATTTTTTTCTTTGTGTGTGTGATAAAAACCTCCAACTTTTTGACTTATCTGAGACTTCCATCAATATACCAAAATCAGATTAAAACTGCAGTCTCTTTTGTGTTTTGTATTCAAACTGGTCTTGTTTCTTTTTGTCACTCTACAAAAGAATACCAACTTTCAGTCATAGGATGAAAATTCTATTGATAATTGATAATTTCCTTCCTGCTTACAATTTGGTTATGACTAATAAAGATCTAAATTTGGTGAAACCTAAACTTCTTATTTGTCAATTTAGACTGAGTTAATGATAGTAATTCAAAAACTCAATAAAATGAAAACATTTTCAATTTCAAACTGGTTGTAGATTTCATTATTTAAAAAAAAATGTGAAAATTCCAAATAATTATGAGATTTTAACAAAACCACTCTTGAAGATGATCAAAGGGATTGCAAAGATTTTGTAGATTTTTTATGTGGTGACACTGATAGCATCAATTTGCACCATTCCAATATTCAATCAGACGTCTATAGTTCTTGCAATTCCACTAAAACTAAGTGATTGTTCAGTGTCCATGATACACATAAAAAATGTAGAAAGCGTCTTTACTATCCCTTAAATGGTGATATCAGTGGTTGAAATCTAAGATGCTTTCTGGACAATGGGATCAGTATTTTTGCCTTTTTTGGTGTTTGCTGTTCTTGCTGAAACAGGTGTCAGCTGCAGCCATTTTCGCATGGCCAGGCCTGGCCTAATGGCAAATGGCTATGACTTGATAGGTTACATATCTGTTCGGATGTTTATTTTCTATATTCAATAGTTTGTAAGAGATAAAGTTCCAGTTATCCCTGATTATCAAAGAGAGACACACCAGTCCCCTCATTTCCATTTACCGAGACGCTCCAGTTGAAATCTTGATTACGAAATAATCGGTCCGTCAACATTTCCTGTGAACACAATAGAGAATACAGTTTTCAATTGATTTTAATGAAACATAGTGTGATCATTTATATTGATATCTTGGTCAAGTTCAAATTTGATGATATTTCGATGAATGGCCTTTGAGTTATTGCCCTTGAACTAGGAAAAACGCGTCAAAATTTGTTTGTGAACACATTAGAGACTGCAGTTTTCAATTGATTTTAATGAAACATGGTGTGATCATGTATATTGATGAGATAAATTGATGTATTTGGGTTATTGATATTGATTTTTAAAAATTTGGTGGAATTTCTCAGCATATATAACTGGCAGTAAATATATATATATCAATGAATTCAAACTATTAAAGTTAAGGGGCGTAAATTGGCGTCACCCATGTCCATACATTCATCCGTCCTTCATCCACATTTGCTCGTAAACACTAGAAAAGGCACAATTTTTGACAAATTTTGTCGAAATTTGATGTAAGTGTTTGTTATCAGTGCATTGATAAATCAGAAAAATCGAAATATATTTAGTATGAGTTATTGCCCTTGTTCTTGAAAATGTGGTCTATATTTGCTCATAAACATTTAAAATGCAGGATTTTGACAAAACTTGGTAATATTGTTCAGCATCAACTCAAAAAGTTATGACTGAAGGTTGAATATTTCATACTGGTGATTGTTACTGTACTGCTAAATATTTTTATTCAAAATCAAAGCTGCCAGTGGGCGTATATAACCTTGCTATCTTAATGAAATTTGGTGTGATTATAAGATCTTAGATGAATTTTATTTTCACAATTTTTTGATGAACATTGTTTTAGTTAATGCCTTTGACTAAGTTTAAATGCTTCAAAATTTGTTCATGAACACAGTAGAAGCTAAGATTTGAAATAAACCTTGGTGCGACCAGCAAGACTTCAGACAAGTTTGAGTGAACAGTTTGAGAGTTTTTTCCATTGACTTGCATCAAACTCGTCAAAATCTGTTTGTTAATAGGATAAAATCTAGAGTTTTTGATTGATCTTTCAATGACGGTTATGGAGTTATTGCTCTTGATTTGGTTAAAATATTCTTGTAGACACTCTACTCTTGTAAGCTACTCTTGTCAATTGATTTAGATTCTATTTGTCGTGTTATTGGGATAGATAAGATCATGGATAATTGTGTAGTTCACATTTTTTTTCCTTGAACAGGTATAAGTTATTGCCCTCCTTATTTTTTCTAATATGATCCAAAAATAAAAACAAAAGCTGATGTGTGCGTATGTTTACCTTGCCTGGCTTTTTATATTTGATTTTTTGATTTATGTTGTTTATCAGTAAAACCTAAAAATTAGTTTGAATGTGAAGTGTATATTTTAAAGGTCACAAGAAGAGTTGTTACAGGAATTATCTCCCCTGTTTGATGCTGATTATCTTCTACCAAGAACATTCATAGCATCATTAAATACAGAGACTGTGATGTCAGTTATACCCATTGCAGAAAATATACCTGTTGAGATATGCTGTGCTACATTATATTTTCATATAAAAAATTCTAGTGGTACTTTCATGTCAAAGGATTTAATGGAGGTATGTGAGAATTACATCATGCATACTTTCAAATGTTTTTACTATTTTTATACGCCCACATGAAAATTGGTCAGTAAAAAAGAAGACACACAAACAAGCCTGGAAATAAGAAATAGAAGGTCGCCTGTCAAAATGACAGGCTGATGGCATACCTCGCCTGTCAAATTTCAGAAGTCGCCTGTCACCCCCGACCATGTTAATTTAGTGGTGGACCTTCTTCCACAATATGCAATAGAGAACAAAGTCTCTTCTCTTTCAATGAACACCTTGTTTCAGATTTCGTTCTTTTTAATTTGGAAAACAACCTTTCTAGTTTTGCATTGCTTACTGGAAAGGTAAGGAGAATTTCTATTAAGATCAAAATGTTTTTCCAGTTGCTCTTTGCTTTAGGAGAAGAAAAGATAACTTTCCAAGTTATTCTATATTCATTTCTGACTGGATTCAAGTAATTAATAACAAAATAAACTAAGTTATGCCACTCATAAAGCATTTCTGGGATGGGAATGTCAACACCATTGGCTACTAAAATTAGGTAGAAATGTTCCAGAAGTGAAACAATATCATCATCAGCAAATTCTTCTTTTTCACATTGAATCGCCAATGAATTCCAATTTTGAGTATCCAATATTTTAGCTATTTTCTGAAACATAATATCATCCTCCCCTTCAAGTCTCTGTTGCAGATTTTCTAATAACATATCCACTAATTTTTCTTTGTCAGTTTTTATCTGTTCATATGCATTATCAAATTCTGTCTTCTTGAATCTTACGTTTTGATACTCCACAAAATCATCACCTTTAAACAATTTTGAATCCAAGAATTTGAAACTAGCCATTTGGTAGGTCTCTTTGTGTTTTAACTGTATGATTTTCTCTTTAGCTTGTCTAAGAGAATTCAAGGAAGATACAATGTCCAGATCTTCTCTTTGAAAGTTTTTTGACAACACAGATACAGGCATTAATAAATCAATGAACAAAGCAATTTGTAACAACATTTTAACTGATTTCCAATTTTTTTAGATAACCAATGAGATTATCCCTATCTTTAGTGGATCTTTCTGAAGCTATAGTTTCCAAATGTTGTATAAAAACACCAAATTTATCAAACATAATATGCATTGCTGATAGCTTGAAACTAATCCATCTGGTTCCATTAGAGCGCTTGGGTTTAAATGTCCCTTCTTCAAACTCTATGTTCTCTTTTAATATGTCAATCATAGATTCAAGTTCCGATATTTTTTTTGATGATTTATGATAAAGAGCATAAACACGAAGTAGCATTTCGTTAATAGTTTGAAAAAAAGTTTCTTTAAAGGCGTATTTTAGGGCAAGCTCTAAACGGTGAGCAAAACACCATACATATATCAACCATGGGGCTTTGGTTTTCAGGATAGCTTTGACACCTGCTCTGTCACCACTATTAACTAGGGCTCCATCTGATCCAAATCCAATCATCTTTGAATACAACTCTGTTGAATTTATTCCCACATGCTCAAAACTTGTCTCAATAGCTTCAATAATTCCAGAAGCATCTGCCTTCTTGACATCTTTCAAGTACACAAATTTTAAGCTTGTCTCTATTTTGTCACAACCTTTCTCTGGTAGAAAATATACGTATATAACTTCTTTTCTTTGACACTGGTGTCTGTTGAACCAGTAAGTATACTTATAAACTTGGCTTTCTTCAAGTTGGCTTTTAAATTTTGACGAATATGATCTCCATGAAGATCTACAAATTCAGAGCATTGTTTCCTGTTAGTGTAGGCCACACCAAGATCCACGCCATGTTTTGATTCCAATTCTACAATAGCTTCATACATTGTGAATGGTAGTTCATTCTTCCCGACAAAATAAGCTATTTCCATCTTTTTACACATTTGGGTTTTAATTTTATCAGTTAATCCAGAAAAACAATCTCCAATAGTTCGTTGGTTTTTATCGGAATACGTTCTAGAACCTGATATACTAGCACTGGTGCTATCAAAATTGGATGGATCACAATCTGTTTGATCATCTGTATTTACATTACCACCACTATTGGCATTTTGACGACAAAAAAGTTCATAAAACATCTTGTGGCAACAGGAATAAGCTTGGTCCTTCAGACTGCTCAATCTATGATTTTTAGAGCCAGTTATAAAATCCCGACGAAATTCTTTCATCTGTTTTATACGCGATAAAAACATCTGACATGTGTGGCAGCAAAATTCGAGGACGACTCCGTCTTTTTGGTGGACTTTGAGCCATAAATTTGGAAAAGTTTCAGCCAGTTGGCTCGTCTTCCATTTGTTGACTGTTTCCACAGTTACAGACCGTTTTTTGGTGTTTAATTTTGACATTTTCAATCCTTAAAAGGCGACAGTTTGACATTTTATTTCAGCCATTACTAAGTATAGACCTAGCACGCGGTAAATTTTTACACAAGGAGCCTAGTCACGAAATTTTTCTAAGCAAAAAAAATTCTTATGAAATTCTAGAGTTGTGTTCAGTTTCGACTTTATTAAGATTAACACAATTACACAAATATTTCGGTTTTATCATATATCAGGCCCCTAAAATATTTCTACTGCATTTAAACGTGATATTATAGACCAAAATCACCCTGAATTTACATTTAAAATTAAGCAATAGCAGCCTTTAATGAAACTTTGAATGTGACAATGTCAATGTTGTTAACCTGAATGACCAATCGTATGAGTTGTATGTTAAACTCATATTGCAATTTTTGACTAGTGCGTATGCGACTACCGAACTGTATTATGCTCACTGTTATATTCATAGACATCGTAGACTTGCATGATCGAGAAGCCAACTTTCATTTGCGATTGAAAATTTCGTGATATATTTTTTTGTATGAACATTCATGGTCGCCCATCTAAACAACCGGCAGTACACTAAGGTCGCCTGTCAAAAAGGTTAAAGTCGCCGGTCAATGACCGATGACCGGCGCTATTTCCAGGCTTGCACACAAACAGTTTTTTCACTGGTCCATTTTTAGTCCATCCAAATAATGTGGATACTAACACTTGGGTAACCATTCCAAAAATAATCTGCTTTAGAAAAAACTAAACAGTGTACAATTTTCAATCAGTCGTCTGTGGTTCCTGCAATTCCACTAAAACAAAATGTTTGATGATGTCACTAATTGCAAAATATGCTTTATCACATAAGGCCCTTTATGATTAGTGACGTTATCTAAAACTTCTGATGTCTGAATGAAAATTGGATTTGTGCAAATTGATGCCATTCTCTGCCTTGATAGACAGTTTTATACTTTATTCTTTACATATTATGTAGTTGTATTGAAGTGTATAAGATGTTTGATTGGAATAAACCATTGCAAAGGTAAAAAAAAGGGATTCTTTGGCATTTCTTAAAGGATTTCACTGAAGAATTAGTCGATAGTGTCAATAAAAACTTGATGTTGATTTTTTTCCAGAAAATTCAAAAGTGTTTAGATGCTGTTTGTAAATTAATTAGGAAAAAGACTGAGAATAAAGTTGTTAGGTAAGTAGAATTTATTATATTAAAGGTACCATGAAAGATTTTAACTGATTTTCTGTGGCAGTTTTAGTTGATTTTGATATTGAAAACAGAGTTAAATCTCTTGACCACTAATACAGTGGAGTTGCCGACAATCTGGAAACCCCGATATCTGCACGCTTTTTACTGGGAACGGAATATTTACTATGTAAAAGTAACCGTTAATCCGGTGCTCCGGTTTCCGGTTCCGCACGGCTGTGATTGGGAACCAATTATCAAATTCTATGGTAATTAGCATAATTAGCCTCGTTGATCGGTGTTTAATAAATCATTTTTTGAGAATATGCGGTTAATTTAATGTTAACGTGTATGCTATCTTTCGTTCAGTAATACTTGAATTAAATTTTTCGTTCAGTCATACCCGAATTCCATCATGGCTACGGAACACATCAAACATTATCGCTACGATGATACTGCACGGTAATTTATGTTTATAAATTAGCGAATCCTAATTTTAAGGAATGATATTGTTATTTCATGCCATGATAGTGAAATAAGATGAAAAATTATAAATAATAAAACAATGGCCCTCTAAAGTATACACGTCTATCACATGTTGCGTACTTAACAATTGACAGGTGTCCTTATAGGAAGGGATTTAACTCTAGTTATGGAATGGCATGTTTCAACTATCCAGATTTTCGTTAAACCGCACGATTTTATCGGGAACGGGAATGTGCTGATAAACGAGGCCCCACTGTATTTAATTTTCTCTAGTATTATAGTATTCAGCCTATTTTCATGAAGCTTGATAAAAGTGTGCAATGAGGAACTTTTACAAGGGCAATGGCGTAAGCCTGCTCGTTTTATTTCAATCACAGAGCCTAAGTGTGCTTTCCCATCTGAATGACTAGATACTTTTTCCAGTCCATTTCACCTATACTGACAAAAGGGAAACAAGTTATAACAATTAAAGGTACTATTGTAGCCGAGCTAACTCGCTGGGGTTAACTCAGATGGGGAGAATCTTTAACGTTTTCTCAACTTTATTAATATCTAGCATTAAAAACACCCTGTAATAATAATATATACAATTAATAATAATACAACATAATTTAGACATACAGAACATTATTATTACAGTAAACTTAAAAATCAAAACACTATGCACATAATTAATAACAAACCTTATCAATATATATAAAGATACTATGATTGGATAATAATATTAAAATTATACTAACCCAAAGATGGGGTGTTTACTTAAGCTGAATACTATTAGGGATGTAACTTAGTTCTGAAGAAAGTTGTTCCAAAGATCAAAAATATAGAATGAAGAAAACAGAGCTGCACTGTTCCAAAAGACTAAAACAAGCCACTCTGTTTGGTATCTAGGGTCCAAGTGAGGCTATAGAGAGCAAAAGTGATGAAACTCACCAGTAACTCACTGGCCTGACTACCCTAAAGACAGTTCAGCCATTGTCCAGTGAGACCAGTTAAAGTGATGAGAGAGAGTAATAGTTAATGTTAGTAAGGCCAATGTTTAGTAATTATGTGCTGTTTAAAACTTACAGATGCGTTAAACCAACAATTTAATAAATACCAAGTTTGTTTTAAAATGCACCCTATCACATACTCCCTCCCTACGGGAAAATGAAGTATCAACAGCTTGGTGCATAACAAAGTCTTGATATCTGGACGGCAGTTGTCTTCTTCTTCCAGATACACGAGGTACTGGGGATGCTTCGTCTACAGCTTCGTCACTCTCAGAATCTTGAAGCTCAGGCTCCACGGGATCCACATTCTGACAGGACTCGCTATCATCAGCTGATAAAACTTCAGTGGGGCTAGCGGGGAGATGACGAAGGGTATCCCCCACCACGTACGCAATATCATAATCATCATCAATAATATCTTCCTCGTTATCCTTTTCTGATGCTGGTGGTGTTGGTGTTTGTCGTCGTCGAGGTTTCGGCACTGGAGCGGGTGTAATAGGCTCAGGTAAACCTATAGGTACAGACACTATAGGAAGAAGATGGTTTTGGTGCAGTTTCCTAACATTACCTTTATCATTCTCCATACTTATCTCATATACCGGAACATCTGAGTTTGGCTGGCTGATGATGATGTATACATCTTCTTCCCATCTGTCCGAGATCTTATGCCTTCCCTCTTTGAAAAACAAAGGCTTCACGAAAACACGATCTCCTTGCTCTAAAACAGAATATTTTGCTTTCTGGTCGTAGTTCTTTTTCTGTTGTTGTTGAGACTTACCAATTTCTAAAGAAGCAGCATGATACGATAGTTCTAACTTCTTTCTAAGGTCACTTACATAATGTCCGTAAGATTTTCTTTCCTCTGGTGTAACTATACCGAGGATGACATCTACAGCCAAATAAGGTTTCCTACCAAACAACAATTGAAAAGGGGAGAAACCTGTGCTGTCATGACGTGTACAGTTGTAAGCCTGTTCGTAGGCGACTTCCTCTTCAAATATCATTGGCAACTCTTGATGTAGTTGTCGACATGGGCAGACATCTTTGGCCAATATACTCTTTCTCTAAGTAAAGATACAGTTCTGTCTCTCCCCATATGTCCAACGTCATCATGCAAACCTTTTAGGATAGTCTTTCTGTGTATCTCTGGAACTACTAATTGCAATGTATCTTCATTTCTTTCCCTGGTTTTTCGAAATAATATTCCAGATTTGATGGTAAGGTTGGTAAATTCTCTCGAGAAAGTTGGATCCATGGTAGATGTTCTTACTCCAGATTTAACTGCTTCATACACAGGTCCAATAACCTTGTCATCCTGTTGACATCTACTCCAGTCAATCTGATCAGCTGTTGAAATTGGCAAATTCAAATCAGGAACAATTTGTATGGCCATGCTTTCTACCAAACCTCCATCAAACTTAAGATTCTGAAGAGCATTGATGGTATTGGCTGACAACTCTCGAACCCGATTGGTGTCTTCAGGGAGTCTAGACAAACAGTCAGCATCTGCATTAGTTTTTCCTGGCCTGTACTTGATGTTAAACGTGTACTGTTCCAATTGGGCTAACCAACGGTGTTCATTAGCATCAAGTCTTGCTGTAGTCAAGATATAGGTTAACGGATTATTATCCGTGTAAACTGTGAAAGATGTTCCATACAGATACTGATGAAATTTATCAGTCACAGCCCACTTTAAAGCCAAAAACTCTAACTTATGTGCCATATAGTTTCTCTCAGACTTTGTTAGTCCACAGCTGGCATAAGCTATCACCCTATCTTTTTCTTTCTGATGTTGATATAAAACTGCTTCTAGACCTCTTCCACTAGCGTCGGTGTGTAAAATATAAGCCTTTGACGAATCAGCATAAGCAAGTACCGGTGGTTGAAGTAATTTTTCTTTTATCAAATGCTGATTGCTGCTCGGTATCCCACTTCCATGCTGTGTGTATCCACGTCTACAGTCGGCCGTTCGACAGAGACGTCTTCCTGTTTATATATAAAGATACAATGATTGGATAATAATATTAAAATTATACTAACCCAAAGATGGGGTGTTTACTTAAGCTGAATACTATTAGGGATGTAACTTAGTTCTGAAGAAAGTTGTTCCAAAGATGAATAACTAAAGATAGAATGAAGAAAACAGAGCTGCACTGTTCCAAAAGACTAAAACAAGCCACTCTGTGGTATCTTAGGTCCAAGTGAGGCTACAGAGAGCAAAAGTGATGAAACTCACCAGTAACTCACTGACCTGACTACCCTATAAAGACAGTTCAGCCATTGTCCAGTGAGACCAGTTAAAGTTAAAGAGATAAGAGAGAGTAATAGTTAATGTTAGTAAGGCCAATGTTTAGTAATTATGTGCTGTTTAAAACTTACAGATGCGTTAAACCAACAATTTAATAAATACCAAGTTTGTTTTAAAATGCACCCTATCACACTATCTTGATCTAAGTAAGGTGGAACTGTGGCAGCAACAGTAAAAATATAAAAGATCTTAAACCGTGGACAGTTCCAAGCGTGGTAACCAATGGCTTTTGAACCTTTTGAAACTTTTAATCTTACAATTAGTGAACAAGAAAGTAAAAATCTAGAGTATCTGGTAAATAAATCAAGTATATAACTAGATCCACAGGCTTCGATATTATGGTGTCTGTGTTGTGCCAACTTGTTGGGGTTTTTTTTGTCCAGGCAATGATGTGCATTATTTACAGTGCCAAATGTTTGAGATGTACTCGAGTGTCAAAGGAACACACATCATATGGAGATAAGAATACATTTGAGATTAAAGAAAGGCTACAACTGTTGTATTTATATTTTGTACCAGTATTAAAATTACAATTCAAGAATCAAAGTTATTTTTTTAACACTACTGTATAACTTTTATTAAAAATACTTGATTAATAGCAAGACTTCTACATCTTAAAAAGTGCTAATATTCCACACAATTATAAACTGCTATGTAAGTTCGGTCCATAGGGTAAAAACAAGGTATGCAAATAAAGAAGTAATTTATTTTCTCAGACCTACATTGTAATTATCTGCATCTGCATCAAACCTATCGTAATTAACAAAACAACTATGAAATTAATTTATAAAGCCTTAAAACAAGTACATGTTCATTAAATGAGGTGTGTTTTGATTATAAATCGATTACATAATCGATTATACCTCTTTGATTAATCGATTATTATTTTCTTCCGCTTGCCCAGTGGGTAACAATTTTGATTTCCCTCTCAAAATATCTAACAGTGACAATATTTCTTATCATGATTAACTTGAAATAAGTTGCTTAAACTCAAATCATATTTAACAGATCGCCTAAACTCATATCTTATTCACCAGATTGCCAAAACTCAAATCATATTTAACAGGTTGCTTAAACTCATATCTTATTCTCCAGATTGCCAAAACTCAAATCATATTTAACAGATCGCCTAAACTCATATCTTATTCACCAGATTGCCCAAACTCAAATCATATTTAACAGATAGCCTAAACTCATATCTGATTCTCCAGATTGCCCATACTCAAATTATTCAACAGGTTGCCTAACCTCATATATTATTCTCCAGATTGCCCAAACTCAAATTATATTCAACAGGTCGCCTAAACTCATATATTATTCTCCAGATTGCCCAAACTCAAATCATATTCAACAGGTCGCCTAAACTCATATATTATTCTCCAGATTGCCCAAACTCAAATCATATTTAACAGGTCGTCTAAACCTATATATTATTCTCCAGATTGCCCAAACTCAAATCATATTCAACAGGTCGCCTAAACTCATATATTATTCTCCAGATTTCCCAAACACAAATCATATTTAACAGGTCGCCTAAACTCATATATTATTCTCCAGATTTCCCAAACACAAATCATATTCAACAGGTCGCCTAAACTCTTATCTTATTCTCCAGATTGCCCAAACTCAATCATATTCAACGCGTCGCCTAAACTCATGTCAGGGGTGTCAATAAGAAGCAGAGTAGGTGGCTATACAACAAACCATCTTGGAATCCCTATACCATTGTGCTGGAGGCAGGAAAACTGAGACCATATTTGTATTAAGCAAAAGGCCTATCAATCACTACCCTTCGCCCTTCTCTATAACATCAACCTGCAGAATTTTTCTTATCGTTTCAAAGCAATGTCAAATTGTTATCTATTTCTAACATATACAAAATGGCAGATTTCAGTTATTACCAAATATCACTAGTTTTTTTATCGGCCAAATTTCCTTATAATCCCAAGCGGTAATCGGAATTCCAAGTGTCGTCTGCTAGAATATATTCCAAGGAACAAAGTCATGTGACAAACTAGCGGATTCCGTATAAATTCTATGAAACACAATATTTGTTTGAATTTTAACAATGAATTACTCTTAATTTTAACTCTTATTTTGTCAGTCACTATTTTTTTTTGTAAATCATTGTTCTTTGACGGAATTGTCTTTAGTTATAATGAAATATTAATTGACTAATTGACTAATTGTTACGACTTTGGGGCCTATTCAGGTCACAAGGTCACTAAAGTTCAAGGTCAGGATATATGCCCTGAGAAGTTTTCATATAATTCAATCAGGAAAAAAAAGAAGGGAAATCACAATAAGAAATCGGTTACCAAATATTTTTAGCAATCGGATAGTTGACAATAGACATCAAAATTACACAAATTGGATTACCCCTTGAGACCTTGTTTCGATTTAAAGAAAAACACACGCAGTTACTATAGAAGACAATACAAAATTTTCAAATATTAAAAAGCATAATTTTGATCAAAATATCGGTGTTATATATTATTATAAAGAACAGATGAATACCAGTTAGATTTAATCAGAATTTTTGGTGTATCTAAATCAGGTCAATTGAGAGAGCTCTTTAATAGTTAAAATTGCAATTTTCAATCGGCTAAAAACATTGGGCAACACAAATGAATATATCGCTGGATAGATATCATAAAAGGCAATAAATTATGTTCAGGTTACAAGGTCATCAAAGGTCAAGTTCATGAAATATTAGCCTTTGAAGTTTTGGCCATTACTGAAAAAACTTATCTGGAAAAAAAGGAAAACTATTATCAAAATTAAAAAATTGGCTTCCAAATATCTTTTTGCAATCAATTGTGATATCCAAATATCCTAAAATCATGAAAAGTGCTCTATCCCTAGAGGCCTCATTTGAGTTTTACAAAAATTAGACATTTCAATATGGCAGATAATATGTTACTTCCAGTTCGAATTTTATCATGTCAGTAAAGCTATTTTGATTTATTTTCAGCAATAACAAGGCAACAGAAATGTTGAAGAGAGTAACCATTGATTTAATTGATGTAGTGTTATATGATGACAGATTATTTCAACATCGATTTATGGTATTATGTACTCTGTATGACTATCTTTTGGGTATAAATGTTGAAAATGAAAATCGTGAAATGGATGAATTTCAACAGAAGTGTAAGAAAATACTAGATGAAAGACTGTACAGTAGTTACGGTCGTTCATATGGATATGGAGTTTATTCTTCACTTGATTATAGAAAAAAATGGGATGTCAAGGACATTCTAACTGTAAGTACATGAACTGTTTGACCTTTGCCATCTTCTTGATTAAGCCCTGAATGCCAAATTTGTCAATAAGATGTACATAGGAAAAGTATTGGTAACTAATGCAAGATTTCAAAGATATATATTTTCAGTGTTTTTTATAGGAATTGATCTTTGATATCGACAAGATGTCAACATACTTTTTTTTTTACTTGTATGTGATAAAAACTAATTTGGAGTACTTACTTCCAAACAATTATATATAACAACCAATACTGATATATTTTTTGCAGAAATTTCATGATATGATCAGCTTACAACCTATTCCAAAGAAATTAGAATCTATATGGAAAAGAGTATACACAGTTATGTTATCACACTTTTTTTCACAGGTAATGTAAACCGTAAAGGGGTGTCAAATGAATTTTACAAAGGAATGATTAGACTGACTACACCTTGATCAATTTGATTAGTCTGAGTACATCTTGATCATTTTTATACGCCCACATGAAATGTGGAGCGTATATTAGCGTCACCCATGTCCGTCGGTCGGTCTGTCCGTCAACAATTGCTTGTAAAAACTCCACAAGGCACAATTCTTGACTAATTTCGATGAAACTTGGTATGGTTGTTTGTAATTACCCAAGGATGAACCCTATTGAAAATCAGAAAAATCAAAAAATATTTAGTATGAGTTATTGCCCTTGTTCTTGAACGATCGTAAACACTCACGAAGGTGCAGTTCATGATGGATTTTTATGAAACGTGGTGTAAGTGTTTGTTATCACCCAAGGATGAACCCTATCTAAATCAGAAAGATCGAAAAATAATGAGTAGGAGTTATTGCCCTTGTTCTTGAAAACGCGTTCAATTTTAGCTTGTAAACACTCTAGAAGGCACAATTCCTGATGGATGTGGACGAAACTTGGTGTGAGTGTTTGTAATCACCCAAGGTTAAACCCTATCGAAAATCAGAAATGTTGATAAATGTTTAGTATTAGTTATTGCCCTTGTTCTTGAAAACACGTTCAATTTTTAGTTCGTAAACACTCTAGACGGCACAATTCTTGACAGATTTTGATGAAACTTGGCATGAGTGTTGGTTATCACCCATGGATAAACCCTATTGAAAATAAGAAAAATCAAAAAATAATTAGTATGAATTATTGCCCTTGTTCTTGAAAACGCATTCAATTGGCATGATTCTTGCTGGATTTTTACAAAACTTGGTTTTATTATTCAGTACGGCGCTGAAGATTGAATATTCGTCTTCTAGAGTTTTCACGAGCTAAAGATTGAACACGTTTTCAAGAACAAGGGCAATAACTCATACTCAATATTATTCAGTATTGCCCTAAAGAGTTCAAAAGAAGTGTATAACTGAAGGTTGAATATTTCATACTGGTGATTGTTACTGTACTGCTAAATATTTTTGTTCAAAATCAAAGCTGCCAGTGGGCGTATATTACCTTTCCTGGCAAGCTATCTTAACAGTAGTTTTAACTAATGTTTCAACCTTTGTCTTATGTCAGACAGATCCTTTGAATGCAGTTTCAATTGAAGGTGTGACTGTAATTGCCTGAACTTTTGTTTTAATTCAACTGATGTTTTTCTAGTCTATAATTTTGACATCTTCACCTTTCAGTGAAGTTCAGTGGAAACTGATATCCGAACTCAGTGGAAACTAAAATCAGAACTAAACTGTAGTGATAGATCTTCCTTCAAATCTGCTCAGATTAAAGTTTTGCTGTATATGTTATGTAATAAGATTTCACAGAGATTCTTATTAAAAATGTAGTAAAATAAATTGCAGAAAGGAGTACAAGATGTTTATAATGTTTCAGGTGCCAGAGAAAATATGTTTAGATATCTATTGTGAAGAACGAGATGTCGAAAAATATTGTAGTTTGATTCAAGAAAGTCTCAGTGAAAAGGCATTTCAGGAATTTAGTCATGTGTTAGAGGTATTGTACATGTAATTATTTATAACTTAAAGGGGCATTCCTCTATTTTTGTTAAAAAAATTTTGTAAATTATACCTCAAAATATTTCTAAAGTATTGTTAATCAACAACTGAGAGTGCTAAATGTTAATTAAGCAGCTTGACCTAGCTTTGGTGTTTGGCTTTATAATAGCTCAATATTGAAACCTTTAAAATATTTCTCTACAATAAGAAGTTTATTTTACTTAAATGCGTAAAGTAGTTTTTTAGCAGCCTCCAAACAGCATAAAGTACTTAAAAAGTTTACATAAAATTTTTAACTAGTTTTGGCGGTAAAAAATTGAAGGTTGGATTTTTTTATTTAAAACTTACGTAAGGGATAAAGGCCGAAAACTGTACTTTCTGTCAACAGAAGAAACAACTGAGGGGTGTTAACCCGGAAGTTGTTTTTTCTGTTGGCAGAAAGTACAGTTTTCGGCCTTTATCTGTCTTAAAACATAGTATCTATGAGTAAATTTTGTTTGTGAGAGAGACTCAATGTATATCACTTTAAGAATGTAATCTTTTTGAACATTAAATGAGCATGCACACAGCTCACTACTGAATGTTGTTTTAAGACAGTTGTTACTTTAAGAATGTACACTTTTAAACATTCATGCATTCATTCATTGAATAGTTGATGCTTCAAGTGTCAAGATGTCAGGTTCTAGTGATGATGATATATTTATTACCCAAATAAAGACTTGTGAAATAGATGATTATAATTTAGAAACGGATACTGTTCTTAGTGATGCTCTGAATTTGGAGGAAAATTATGTAAAAGAAGCCATATAGTTACCAAACTTTGATTTGAAGTACTCTGATATAAGCGATGTTGAAACACCAAATTTGCCAGAAAATGCCAAGACTTCACTGAGGTTTTCCAAGCCCCTGGACGATTCTGATCTAAAGAATTTGGTTAAAAGTGGTCTTAGTATTAAAACTGACAATAAAACTAGATGGGCAGTTAATTTGTTTAGTATGTGGAAGAAACACAGAAACAATAATAACTCTGAAGAAAAAGGTTTATTTAATCTTTCCAGTCAAGAATTGAATGAGGCGTAAGGAATCCGGTGATAATTATAAACTAAATACTTTGTATGAGATTATTATATCTATACAGCACTACCTTCGTCAGAATGGACGTTTAATAGCCTTTATGGATGATGAAGAATATCAGGGTTTAATAAGTGTTCTGAACAGTAAAATGAAGGAGTTGTCGAGACTTGGACTGGGTATTGATACCAAGAAGTCAGAAGTTATTACAATAGAACAAGAAGAGATTTTATGGAGTAAAGGCTTGTTAGGTGAAAGCAACCCACAGCACTTATTGGATACTCTTCTTTTCTTGTTTGGATTACATTTTGCACTGTGAGCTGCTCAAGAACACAGGAATTTAAGGTTTGGTATGAACACTCAATTGTCTGTTAAGTATGACTTAGAAGGTAAAAAATATCTGCAGTACATAGAAGATGTTTCAAAGACAAACCAAGGTGGTTTAGATCACAGGAAAGTCAGTCCTAAAATGACAAGAGCTTATGAAAATTCTAACCCATTAAGTTGTCCAGTTAGATTATATGAAAAGTATATAGCTCTGCGTCCAAAAAACAGTACAGTAGATGCATTTTATCTACGTCCCAAGAAGATGCCATGCTCTGATGTTTGGTACTGTGATTCTCCTGTAGGAATTCATACCATACAGTCCACTGTTAAACGTTTATGTCAGTCGGCTGGTATAATTGGAAACTTTAGTAATCATTCCCTTCGTGCCACAGCTGCAACTCGTTTATATCAAGCTGGAGTGGACGAGCAATTGATCACTGAAAAGACTGGACACCGATCTAATGCTGTACGAGCATATAAAAGAACAAGTGATGCCCAGCAAGCCTCTGTGAGTTCAGTATTGCATAGTGGTTCCAAAAAACATAAATTGGAAGAATTGGTGGATACAAGCCCAACTAAATTTAAGCAAGAACGTTGCGTTAATGAGGAAACCAGTGACAAAGAACATAAGGAACTCAGAGAGTTCAAACTTTCAATGCCAGGAATGAATTTGTCCATGAAATTTTGATTCATTTGACTGTAGTATTGCTTCAAAAATTGCAATAATATGTTTGTTCTAGTTATCTGAAAATCTGTTCTTTCTTAAGTTTAATAATGTACTATTTTTTCCAAAAACTGTACATTCTTAGGTCAAAGAAAGTACAGTTTTTGGAAGTTGTGAGTAGGTGTTCACAAAAACAGTACATTCTGAAATAATGGCCTAAAACAACAAAGGACTACTGTCTAACTATGTTTTAAAGATATATATGGTACACATTTCTCCAAATTTTGTTGTGTAGGTTTCACAAATTTGAGCAAAAAAAATTTGTTGACAAACAGAAATAGTGTAAAGTCCCTTTAAACTTAAAAGATAAAACCATAGGTGATGTTTTTTTTTAAATTTTAAATTCAACAAAAATATCTTTTTATACAACAACTTGAAAAGTGGCCATCTTTCAGTCTTTAGTATTCAGATGCACATAAAATTTCTAAACAGCAGAATTCTTGACAGACATTGACAAATTGGTGATATCACCTGACCTGAGGGAATTATGTTTGTTGAAAGTGTCGGTGTATCCAGTTGCGTGCCATTTCATTTTCATACGCCCAAATGAAATGGGGGGGCGTATATTGTCGTCATCCATGTCCGTCCGTCCACAATTGCTCGTAAACACTCTACAAGACACAATTCTTGACGGATTTTGACAAAACTTGGTATGAGTGTTCATAATCACCCAAGGATGAACCCTATTGAAAATCAGAAGAATCGAAAAATATTTAGTATGAGTTATTGCCCTTGTTCTTGAAAACGCGTTAAATTTTTAGCTGGTAAACACTCTAGAAGGCACAATTCTTGATGCATTTTGACGAAACTTGTTATGAGTGTTTGTTATCAACCAAGGGTAAACCCTATTGAAAATCAGAAGAATTGAAAACACGTACAATTTTTAGCATGTAAACACTCTAGAAGGGACAATTCTTGACAGATTTTGACGAAGCTTGGCATGAGTGTTTGTTATCACCCAAGAATAAACCCTGTTGAAAATCAGAAAAATCGAAATGTTACTGCTAAATATTTTTATTCAAAATCAAAACTACCAGTGGGCGTATATTACCTTTTCTGGCAAGCTATCTTTTCTCAACTAGTATACAAGTCATCATCCTTCAATGCAAATTTTTGGTCTTAGAAATTAACCCAATTCTAAGTGTGCCTTTAAATAATAACAAAAGACAAACAGGTAGAATATTATTCATACTTTGAGATTAAATAAATGGTTTAGAACAAAATTGTTATTTAATATTTCAGAGTGGATCTTTTGAATTACAAGATACCAAAAGAATTGGAGAACTCTTATCTAAAGCATGGGATCCTTTTTATTCTAAATATGAGTGCAACCCAACATATTTATTTGAATGGAGTCCTTTAAAAAATTATATGGAAGTCTTTGGTAGGTATGGCAAACTATTAAAATAATTCATGAATTTGGTGTTGTTTTTTTTAATATCTTTGATTAATTTTTAAAGAGTAAATAATCAATATTTGGTTAACTTGCTCAATTTTTATGGGTATATTGCCGCCACCCACGTCCGTCCGTCCGTCCGTCCATCCTTCCGTCCAACAGCAGGCCTTTTTGAACACACGTCGGATAGAAAAAAAAGGCCACTTTTTATACGCCCACATGAAATGGGGGGCGTATAATGCTGTCAGCTCATTCCGTCGGTCCGTCTGTCGGTCCGTCCGTTCACAATTGCTCGTAAACACTCTACAAGGCACAATTCTTGACTGATTTCGATGAAACTTGGTATGGTTGTTTGTAATCACCCAAGGATGAACCCTATTGAAAATCAGACAAAACGAAAAAACGCTCTAGAAGGTGCAATTCATGACGGATTTTAATGAAACTTGGTATAAGTGTTCGTTATTGCCCAAGGATAAACCCTATCGAAAATCAGAATAATTATAAAAATATTTAGTATTATTGCCCTTGTTCTTGAAACTGCTTTCAAATTGAGCTCTTAAACACTAAAAGGCATGACTCTTTCTGGGTTTTGACAAAACTTGGTTTTATTATTCAGTCCTGAGATTGAATATTTGCCTTCTAGAGTTTTCACGAGCTAAAAATTGAACATGTTTTCAAGAACGAGGGCAATAACTCATACTCAATATTATTCAGTATTGTGCTAAAGAGTTCAAAGAAGTATATGACTGAAGGTTGAATATTTCATACTGGTGATTGTTACTGTACTGCTAAATATTTATGTTCAAAAGCTGCCAGTGGGCGTATATTATCTTGCCTGGCAAGCTATCTTTAACCGAATAAAGAGGCACACGCTCATGTAAAGGAAGAAAACCCACCATGTTGTATCAACCAAACGAAAACGAGGCCAAGCAGTAACCGCATTTATTGTCCATGACACGATCCGTCCAGTCATTGAAAATAATAGACAATAATATGCTACTATCTTACAAGAAACAGAGGCTGATCGGCAAGTAAACGGCTGATAATCGTAGTTTAAAAACTGCAAAATTACACATGGTATACAAAGGTATTTAATATGAGTAGTTGCTCTTGTTCCTGAAAACGTGTTATGTGATCACAATAGAAAGCTGGTTTCTTGATGGATTTTGATAAAATTTGGTGTCAGTGAGTAAGGATGAACCCTATTGAAAATCAGAAGAATCGAAAAATATTTAATATGAGTTATTGTCCTTGTTCTTAAAAATGTGTTCAATCTTTAGCTCATAAAACTCCAGAAGACAAAATTCTGGACTGATTTAGACGAAACTTGTTGAAAATCTAAATTAAGTCTTTGAATAAAGCTTGTGCAGTATGAAAATGTTACTCGCGAAATATTTCATTTATTGATAGCCGGGCTGCCATTACAATGGTGAGCGTATTACAATGAGCCATATCTATTTTTTTGTAGGTCGAAAAATTTTGTTACTCAAAGTTGTGAAACCTATACACCAAAATCTATAGAAATTTGTCATATATTGTCGTCGCCCCTGTCCGTCTCTGTCTGTCGGTCCGTCTGTCCACAATTGGCTTGTAAAGGCAATAGAGACAACAGTTTTTATCTGATTTGAATGAAATTTGGTGTGATCATTTATATTAATGAGATCTTGGACAAGTTCGAATTTGACGATCTTGCGATGAATGGATTTTTAGTTATTGCCCTTGACTTATGAAAATTGTGTCAATATTTGGTTGTAAACACAATAGACACTACAGTTTTCATCCAATTTAAAGGAAATTTGGTATGAATATTTGTAATGATGAGATCTTGAACAAGTTCGAATTTGGCTATCTTTCGATGAACAGTTTTGAGTTATTGCCCTTGACTTAAGAAAAACGTGTCAAAATTTGTTTGTGAACACAATAGAGAGTACAGTTTTCATCTGATTTAAATGAAATTTGGTATGATCATTTATAATGATGAGATCTTAGTCAAGATTGAATTCAACAATTTTTTGATCAACAGAATTTGAGTTATTGCCCTTGACTTTATAAAAACGCATCAAAATTTTTTGGCGATAGAGGTGAAGGTTTATGTCAGAATTTTTATACACCCACATGGAAATGTGGACGTATATTGCCGCCGCCCCTGTCCTTTGGTCCGTCAACATTTCTTGTGAACACAATAGAGACTACAGTTTTCAACTGATTTCAATGAAATTTGGTGTGATCATTCATATTGATGAGATCTTGGTCCAGTTCGAATTTGATTCTTATTACCCGTTATTATTATCCCTAGATGAACCCTATTGAAAATCAAAAAATGTTTTATAGTAGTTATTGACCTTGTTCTTATAAACGCTTTCAATTTTTAACTCATAAACACTGAAAGGCATGATTCTTGCAAGCTTTTGACAAAACTTGGTTATATTATTCAATATCGCCCCAAAAAGTTCGAAAGAAATGTAAGACTGAAGGTTGAATATAATATACTGGTGATTTTTACTGTACTGCCAAATATTTTTGTTCAAAATCAAAGCTGCCAGTGGGCGTATATAACCCTCCTATCTTTTAAACACAACTTTTACCCTTTGCTAGTGACAGAAAACTATTTGACTCTTTTTTTTCTTTTACAACTATTCTTTTTCAAGTTGGTCAAAAAAAGATGGAGTTTTTAACACAAAAATGCATGGTAGAGCTTACTATGGTATTTTCTAAAATAGAAGATTATTATAGAGGACTATTAAAAGGGGAGATAACAAGAGAGGAAATGATACTGATTACTGAAAAATCAGACAGAATGAAAATTCTTTTTCAAATAGTCGTGAAAGATGAAAAGATAGATTTGGTATTAAATGTACGTCAGAAAGAGATAACTGGTTTACAGGATTATTTTGATCAGCTACAATCAATGTTGAATATTGCCAGATTAGGTAAACATTTTTTTTACACCCATATCTTCCATTGAGTATGGGGAGCTGCAGTGGCTCAGTGATTTAAGACGCTTGCTCGCTAACCTAAAGGTCCAAGGTTCAATCCCAGCATATGTCGAGATGATACCTTTGTATTTCTCAACCCAGTTTCTCCTTGTCAGGGATGCAAGTAAGAGGGACTGACATGCAGTCAGGGCAAATTTCTCTCTTTGTACCCTGCATGGTGTTACCCGTCTTCATTAGCACACATGGCACAGAAAAGTAGTACGTAAAACTCCATTCCTTCCATTTCCATTGTGTATGTATATTGTCAATACCCATAACTGTATATAAGTACAATTCCTTTTCTTAATTAAGCCATCAACATTTTCATTGAATGATAAATATTAATAGTTTGATAATTAATTAGAACAGTTTGCAACAATCACAAGAATATTTCAATATTTGGGGTTTTGGGATGACAAAATGCAGAGTTATTAAACTTGCTTACAAATGATGAAATTGAAATGTCTCCTTTAGTTTTCAACTGATTTTTAATAAAAACACAAATTGGCATGTAGGCTGGTAATCTGAAAATTATAAAATATTTAAATATGTCAAATCTAGCTTGTGAACAGGATAGATATTACAGTAAATGTTTATATTATGATGTATGTCAACTAGACACTACAGTTTTGAATTGAAATCAATGACAACTTGATGTTGATGAGTCCAACTTGAGTAATTTTCCCATGCTAGGCTTTCAAGTTGTTCTTCTGTACAGATGGTTAACTGTGCATTTTTTCTGTATTGTTTTTATATGCCCCTTTTTTTTATGTGTACATAATTGTGGGAGGCTCCTTTTGTCTATTACCTATTATCTACATGTTTGATATGATTGTATGTAGTTACATAAACAGAAATAATACATTTGAATGTTTCATTGTAGGAATACCTTCAGTGTTAGACTGATTTTAGAATAGATTTTCTTTTTCCTCGAATTGTATCAAGTTGACATATTTGAACGTGATCCTCTATCTTTATATTTACAGTTTTTAAAGATGATAATCAGTTTAGTGAAGAGTACCATACAGTGATTACAGACTCCCCTGATAAGCCATTAAACCAACTTTATACAACTCTGGTAGAATTTGAAAATGTTGACTTAGACAATTATACACCATCTATCAATCCTCTCCATCTCCCTCAATCTCTATTAGACATCCTACCAAATATTCACACTCTAGAAGATAGTCAGCTCTTTCTTAATGTATGGAAAGAAAATGCAAGAAAGGAAGAAGATGGAAATTTATTTGAAAGAATTGAAACAGCATGGAATAATTCATATAAAGAATGGATGCAATTTCGCAAAGATTTTGAATCGGGCAACATTTCTTTCCAAAATTTTGGGAAATATGTCTTTTTTTTGGAGAATGAGAAACATTTAAAGTCTGAGCTAGATAAAGTCTTTCAAAATGAAGAATTGATACAGGAGAGATGGAAACAATATGAAACTTTTGAAACTATAACAACTTGTCAAAGAGCGAGTACTGTCATTATGGATATTAAGGATATGTTGAAAATGACTGTTGATTTTTCCATATGCACAAAAATAAAATCAATAGTAAGTTATGTACCATCTTATTGATGCTTTAAGTTTTATTAAAACCTTTTAGGTTGATTGATGATATCTTGAATGAAAGATTTTTGGTTAAAGTTAAAGGGACAGGTTTGCTGGTTTCAGTGGTTGATTTGAAAATATGTAAATAGTCCTCAGAAGTACTAGAAATGTATAAAAACTTTCTTTTTCTATATGTCTTTTCAAAGTATGACAGAATCTCAAGAAAAGTCATTTTAACTTTCAAACGCGAATAATTCTGGACACAGACTGAAAACAGGTCAGTTGTCTGTAGATCGCATCAAATTTCGGTAATAACATGATTCAATTTCTGTTTTAATATTTCTAATTCTGGACACACCTACACTTGTCATAAGAAAATAGAATTATACAGTTATATAGTTAGAACACTTAAAAGTTATGAAAATGAATGACGTTTGTTGTGGTCTGACAAATTGTTAAAGTGTTAAATTGTCTCCGATTAGATATGTGCTTGTCCATTCATTGAACGCAACATCTTTGATTGGATATTGACATAACTTGGCGTGGCTATGTATAGTTATAAATTTTCTGCACTATTTAAGCCCTGTATAAAGCATGAAGCATATCTATTACATGCTGCTTACGTGATACTTCACAGGTATCTAAATAGGAAGGGACATAACTAGTTATGTTTCAACTATGGGGAAATTTAATAAACTGCACAAATTTTTTCGGGAAAGGAAGTGTTTGAATAAACGATGTCCAACTGTATATCAATGTGAACTGGACTGTGTTCCATTTACTTACATACGAACATAGTCTTGTGAATGCAATATAGGGAGATTATCATTTTTTAATGCATTTTTTTTTTTGGCTATTGCAAAATTCTACTTCTGTATTAGTAAGCATAATTGGATTAGAGATGTTCTGTTAAAAGTTGCCATGACTTTAGGTGACTGATAACTGCTATAAACTGTAAGCTGTGTGTTGATATTATTAGCTGAACAGGAATTTCCCTGGATGTTATTTCATTTTCTCTCTTTATTTATAGGGAGCTAACAATAAATTAGCCATGAAGGAAATAGATGTATCATTATTGAATATGGTTGGTAAAATGAAGGAGTTAGGGAAAGAGAAACTTGAGTTGTTACAAAGCTTTAGAAAGTCTGAGAGTGTAGTGAATTGGTTGAAAGAAACTATGAAAGGTATGATGTCAGTCTCCTGACAATTTTTTCTTGAATTCCACAGATTTTAAGGAGAGACAAAACATTGTTATGCAATTGTATTTATGTTTTCAGGTATTGTGTGAGTAGATTTAAGCTTACTCACATTAGTAAATCAATATTTGGGTGATTCATGGTAACTTTTACTCAAAAATATGACAGCAAATGACTTCATATCTGGTTATATCAAATTATTTCCTGAATAATAAAATAACATTCTTTTTATGTTGACACAACATTATAAGACAGCAGAACTTGAGCACCTAAAACGTAAAATGAACCAACAAACGGCCTATCATGATAGTTCTGCTAGCGCTCTGTTACTTACCATAGTAATAATTAATTACCAGAACTATGTCAGTAATTGTCAGTAACTTGTTTGAATTCTGAACAAATGTTTTGAGCTTTTGTTGAATAACAAAATTTTATGAAACACTTTCCCTCCTCAACCAATCAACATACAATATCTATATTTGAACCTTGTGGTCATGTTAGACAAAAGTCATGTGATAAAGCAGCATGTGCAATGTTTACCTTGGACAATGTTCATCATGCGAGGTTAATGAAAACATAAACACTTAACAATGATTTTTGTTTTAAACAGATCAATATCAGTTGTCTGATTTTGGCTTAAAGGTGGTTACTGTTTGAAGTCTACCAAAAGCGTTTCAATGGAAAACCTAACTGACATGATTTTGCTAAAAAGAAAAGACCCTCGTAACAGCCTAGGCTACATGATGCTATTTAAGAAATAACATGATTTTTATGATATTACTTTTTTATTTCATTTCAGATGGACTCAAAGAATTAAAAGTTTTTGTTGATTTAGCGTTTATATCTGCTGGTGAGGGTGATCTAGAAATAGATCGTGTCAACTGTTTCCATACTGTAACATCTACTTTTGCACCATTGATATTTGATTTGACTGCTAAAAGTAACTTTGAAACATTCATGGGGAAGTGTGATATGATATTTAAAGACATGGACTCTGATGGTCTTAAAAAACTCTCAGAAAAATTGGTAAATGACTAAAAATTTAGATTAAAGTTAAAATAAGTTCAAACAGCTCAATTTCATTTCATTTCAATCATAATTTCAAACTGAAGTTGAAAATTGTAAACCTACAGTGTAAACTTCAGTAGAATAGTGCTGTAAAACTCAAACGGTTTCTGTTCAAACTTAACATTGTTTACTGTTGTCTGAGCTTTGTTCAAATGGCAGTAAAATGAAACATCTAGTTAAAACTTCATTCAGAAAACATGGACTGATCAAAATTTCATGTACATACCTCATGTCCTATCTTATTGTATTATCAGTTGGATACTAATAGACAGTTAGAATGGTTTAAAGCTGTAAGACAGTCCCATGGTTCAGTGGAAGTAACATCTTTAGAACAAGCTGAAATGATTGTGTCTCATGGTATATACAAGATTAACCCTCCAACAAAATCAAGACAGACTAAACTAGTAAGATTTCTTCCTTTTAAAATGGTATTCACCTCTTTTCCACATCCACATATACGCCCACATGAATATGTGCCCCTGTCTGTCGGTCCGTCGGTCCGTCCGTCAACACTATAGAGCACTATAGAGACTACAGTTTTTATCTGATTTTGATAAAACTTGGTGAGATGCTTTAGATTAATAAGATCTCGGTCAAGTTCGAATTTGACATATTATCGATGAACGTTTTTTGAGATATTGCCCTTGACTTAGAACGCCTTGAAATTTGTTAAAATTGAAGCTACAGTTTTCAACCGATTCTGATGAAACTTGGTGTGATCATTGGAATTGATAAGATCTCGGACAAGTTCTAACTTGACGCATTTTCGATGAACGGTTTTTGAGTTATTGCCCTTGACTTTGTTAAAACGCGTCGAAATTTGTTAAAAATAGTTCGTGAGCAGGATTGAAGCTACAGTTTTCAACTGATTCTGATGAAACTTGGTGTGATCATTGGAATTGATAAGAACTCGGACAGGTTCTAACTTGACGCATTTTCGATAAAATGTTTTTGAGTTAATGCCATTAACTTACGAAAAACGCGTTAAAATTTGTTTGTGAGCACAATACAAGCTACAGTTTTCAACCGATTCCGATGAAACTTGATGTTTTAACAAGAGATATTCTTGATGAACATTTTGTGAGTTATTGCCCTTGACTTTGTAAACACACGCCAAAAGTTGTTTTTTGCCCTTGATTAGAGCTGTGTGATTTAATTGTTTGTTGTATTTGGGTTCTTGATATTGATTTTAAAAAATTTTGTGGAATTATTCAGCATAAATAATTTCTTCAATATGAGAAAATTTGTACTTTAGTCACTAAAGACTGTTTTATTATTTCTGACAGCTGACAGTGGGCGTATGTTACCTTGCAACGCAAGCTATCTTATTTTTAATTTAGTGACATCAGTAAGGGTCTAAAGGCACTGCACTTGAACATTCTTCCATTTGATGACACTACAAGCCAATTAAAATTCTTACCTCTCTAACGCTTTGATTTTTAAGACTCAAACGAAATGTGTATTCAGATGATAAACTACATGTAGTCTAATGTTTCTCAGAATACCACTTTTGTTTGCATTTAAATGAGACTGATGGTTTAAATAAAAAAATATTTGTAGGAAATTCAAACAGTTTTGTCATTGAACGTGTCAAGCAATGCGGGTGAGAAAGAAATGTTAAATGATGGTAAATATTCTTTTGAAAAGTTAATGGACTTGCAAAGTCGTCTCATGTTGGTTGCTGGACAAGCTGAAAAAGGAAGAGAAAGAGTTGAAGCATTCACATCGGTAAGCCTTACGTTATATATGAAAAAAAGCGTTGGTAAAAAATGTGATGTTTGTTGGTTAACATGCAATTAATACCAATTTTTATACGCCCACATGAAATGGGGGGGCGTATATTGCCATCACCCATGTCAGTCCGTCCGTCCACAATTTTGACAAAACATGGTGTGATTGTTCGTAATCACCCAAGGATGAACCCTATTGAAAATCAGAAGAATCGAAAAATATTTAGTATGAGTTATTGCCCTTGTTTATGAAAACGCTTTCAATTTTTAGCTCGTAAACACTCTAGAAGGCACAATTCTTGGCGGATTTTGACGAAACTTGGCATGAATGTTTGTTATCACCCAAGGATCAAACCTATTGAAAATCAGAAAAATATTAAGTATGAGTTATTGCCCTTGTTCTTGAAAACTTGTTCAATTTTTAGCTCGTAAACATTCTATAAGGCTCAATTCTTGACAGATATTGAAGAAACTTGGTGAAATTGTTTATTATCACCCATGGATGAACCCTATTTGATTTTGACAAAACTTCGATGAACGGTTTTTGAGTTATTGCCCTTGACTTGGGAAAAACAGGTCAAAATTTGTTTGTGAACACAATAGAGACTACATTTTTTAACTGATTTTAATGAAATTTGGTGTGAGACATTTATATTGATGAGATCTTGGTCAAGTTGGAATTTGACGATCTTTCTATGAACGGTTTTTGAGTTATTGCCCTTGACTTGGGAAAAACGCGTCAAAATTTGTTTGTGAACACAACAGAGACTACATTTTTCAACTGAGTTTAATAAAATTTGGTGTGATCATATATATATGATAAAATCTTGGTCAAGTTCAAATTTGATCTTTCGATGAACGGTTTTTGAGTTATTGCCATTGACTTACAAAAAACGCGTCAAAATTTGAATAGAGACTACAGTTCTCAACTGATTTTAATGAAATATGGTGTGATCATTTATATTGATGAGATGTTGGACAAGTTCGAACTTGATGATATTTCGTTTTTTTAGTAATTGCCATTGACTTAGGAAAAACCCGTCAAAATTTGTTTGTGAACACAATAGAGACTACAGTTTTCAATTGATTTTAATGAAATATGGTGTGATCATTTATATTGAAGAGATCTTGGTCAAGTTCAAATTTGATGACTTTTTGATGAACGGTTTTTGAGTTATTGCCCTTGACTTAAGAAACACGCGTCAAAATTTGTTTGTGAACACATAAGAGACTACAGTTTTAAACTGATTTTTTATATTGATGAGAAAATTTGATGTATTTGGGTCATTGATATTGATTTTTAAAAATTTGTTGGAATTTCTCAGTATGAATAACTGTCAGTAAATATATATATCATTGAATTAAAAATATCAAAATTTTTTTAATATCCGAAAATTCATACTTTAGTCACTAAAAACTGTTTTAACATTTCTGACAGCTGCCAGTGGGCGTATGTTACCTTGCCTGGCAAGCTATCTTTCCTAAAAGTGAATACATAATATTCTTTACTACATATGGTTTAAATCTTCTGATGGTAGTGTTATTAATAAAAACATCAAGGATTGGAAAGTTCATAAATGGTTGAAAACCAGTTTTAAAGAACAATGACCTTATTATTGAAAGTTTTTAATGATTAGCATTTATACTTCCTAGTAATGAGCCATAATGAATGAGTCTGTATAATCTTTTCACTGCTAACTATTATGGCACACTATTTTAATTTTAGACCTTAGATGGAGCTGTAAGATTAGCCAAGACTTATGTGAAATTGTGTAGTGATGGTTGTGTGTTTTTTAACTCCTGGAGAGCTGAATTTCTATGTGACGACACCACAGCAAATTGTGCCCGTCTGGTTTTTGGTAATAATCATCTGCTAACTGGACACAGACATCCTGACACTGTGGAAACATTTGTTGCTCAGGTTGCCAATTTTCTGGAAGAATGTCATGAAGATTGGCTGTCCTATCTTAGAAAGAAAAGGCAGGAATATTTAGAATTAAACTATTACACTGTTGAACAGTTAGTTTTTCTGCAACAAGAGATTATCAAAGTGGGAACAGACGAACCAAATAAACTGATATATCCGCTCTTATCTTTTTTAAAAGAAGACTGTTGTGAGAAAGATTTGCAAGAAGCTATGAAATCGGCACAAGAAGAAGTTCTTAATAAAGACAAGAAAGAGGAAAAACCAGTTGACCCTATTGTGTGTTCTGATGAAGAAATTCAAATGAAGTTTATAGATGCTATGGAAAATAATGGGTTCACCAGAGAACTTGCTCTACAAGCTTATATAGCAGTAAATGATAAAGAAGACATTGATGCTGGTAAGATAAAATAATCAAAACTGTGTTCAATATTTACTTGATATTCTAGAAAGGAATCGTTCAAATGTGTTGAATGTGTTTGACATCAGGCATTGATGCGATATAAAGAGAGAAAAGGTTGGATCATAATAATTGTAATCTGAGGTCCTAATTGTTTATGGAAGGCATTAATTGTTGTTAGTTCTTGTGCCAGATTATGAGGATGGTAATCCCTGTTGTTGATCTGTTTATTGTATGTAGAACAAACCTTACACTAAAAATAATTTATTTCAAACATATCAAAGTTATTAATTATTCTTATAAAGAAGTATGGTGTTTTGGCATATATTAGTCTGCATGTATAGAAAGCTATAATTCACCATATTTATTCAGGACTAGGATACTGTTTGGACCATGTAGATAGTATTGAAGAAAGTTGTATTGATGATGAAGAAGATACCAGTAGAAGATTTGCAGGATGGAGTACTGGAGCTGGATCAATAGAAAATAATATCGGACATTTGCTGAAAAATATACCAAGATCAGATAGGTAATTTCAGAGTTTTTTAATAATATTTTCTCAATTTTCAATGAAAACTGAGTTATCAGTTTGTTATCGAAATGTCAATATTTTTTTTTTTTTTTTTTTTTTTTTTTTTTTTTTTTCGATTTTTACACACCTTCCTGAGCTTAGACTACAATAGTTGCAGCAACCATTCAACATTCACGAACCTTAGATATAGGCGACGATGTGCATAAATATATTTTGGATCTTTTTTGCAAAACCGGAAGTGCCACAGTTCAATATGTGCAAGAATAGTTAATCGGCTCTAGAAGTCGTATTTTTCGGTCGATTTTCTTTGGGTTTGCATTTTTGGAATCTACTGTTAAAATCTGAAAGAATAGCAGTTTCAAAATTCGAAAATTTGTCGCAGACATTCTTTTTGCCAAATTTTGCATTTTTTCATTTTTTTTGCTTTTTGTCTGATTAATCTGAAAAAAATTGAGCAAAGACAGTTTAAGAAAGTAAACAAAATGGTACAGTAAAAATTTCAATTTCACTTCCGGTTTAAACAGGAAATTGATGTTCACTTCCAGTTGAATATCTTCCGGTGTAATTTGTATAGGACAAAAAAATTTATGCTGATAGATAGACAAAGTTATGACAAAAAAACGAAGAAAAAATAATCCGGAACAGACGTGAAACTTTGGCCGCTATTTTGATTTCCCTGAAACTCTTCGATTTTTATTCAGCCAATATGGCTGAACCGAATTTCAAAATTTTGGTGTCAAATGAAAGAACATAAAAATTGAGAGAGATCGCAGGAAGCCGATTTTTGAATTTCGATTTTGCTTTTTTGCAATTTGCGATTGAATTTTTTCAATATTTGATGGCGTATATCTCATGACCTTGACCTTTGATGACCTTGACCTGTATAGGGTCAAAGGTCATTGACCTTGGCTATCATTTGATACTTTGACCTTTGACCTCCGACATGTACTTCCGGTTTTATAGCTATCCGTAATAAGCCAAATTCGCAACTTTGGACTGCTCTAGCACGTGACCTAATTAACCTAGAGGGTTAATTTTTTCTGTTTTGTAATGTGCTTCTCATGCACTTTACATAGATATAGAACAATTGCTTTTTTAAAGCAAAATTGAAATTCGTGATTTTTTCAAATTTGAGTTTAGTTTTACCATACCGTGTCTTTTTGATCTTCGTGTATGTATATCTTATGACCTATTCTATGTAGAACCTTGATATTTGGAATACAACTAGACACTGTGAATATGAATTCACCTATGACAAAAAAATTGGGGTGGGCGTGGCAAATCCGGGTTGAATTACTAATTGTTTACATTTTGCGGCTGGGGCATAACTCGTATAGGAGACGTTTGTTCAAAAAGGGACTTTGCACACAATTACCTCATCCTTTTGGCCAGTATGTAATAACAGCTCAGTTGTTTCAGCTTTATAGTTCCAAAAAAGGAACGGGTTTTAACATTTGGATATTTTCAAAATTCGATTTTGACCTTCATTGACATTTGTTGACCTATATCTTTTGACCTGAATAATGTAGAAGCTTGAAATTTAAAACACAACGTAACATTTGGAATATCAATTGCCCTATGCAAAAAAATTAAGGTGGGCGTGGCACATCCGGGTAATATTACTCATTATTGATATTTTTGGCCAGGAGCATAACTCGCAAAGTATACATTTGTTCAAAATGGAACTTTACATACAATTATCTCATGAATTGAGCCACTTTGTCTTAGAAGTTCGGTTGTTTCCGCTTCTTAGTTCAAAAAAAGGAACAGGTTTTGGAAATTCAAAATTTTCAATTTTTGACCTTGACCTTTGACGACCTGACCTTTATTGGGTCAAAGGTCATTGACGTTGTCTATTAGTTTATGCTTTCATATTTGACCTCTGACGTCTACTTTCGCTTTTATAGCTGTCCAAAAACATCCAAATTCGCAACTTTGGACTGCTCTAGCACGTGACCTAATTAACCTAGAGAGTAAATTTTTTCGGTTTCCTAATGTGCTTCTTGTGTACTTTACATAGATATATAACAATCGTTTTTTTAAAGCAAAATTGAAATTTGTGATTTTTTCAAATTTGAGTTTTTTTTTTTAACAATATTTGCGACTTTTTGAGCTTGGTATATGTATATCTTATGACCTATTCTATGTAGAACCTTGATATTTGGAATACAACTAGACACTTTGAATATGAATTCACCTATGACAAAAAAACTTATGTGGGCGTGGCACATCCGGGTTAAATTACTAATTGTTTACATTTTGGGGCTGGGGCATAACTCGCATAGGATGTGTTTGTTCAAAAAGAGACTTTGCACACAATTACCTCATCCTTTTGGCCAGTATGTAATAACAGCTCAGTTGTTTCAACTTTATAGTTTCAAAAAAGGAACGGGTTTTAACATTTGGATATTTTCATTTTTCGATTTTGACCTTTTTTGACTTTTGTTGACCTATATCTTTTGACCTGTATTATTTAGGAACTTGACATTTGGAACATAACGTAACATTTTGAATATTGATTAACTTATTCAAAAAAAATTGAGTTAGGCATGGCACTTCCGGGCTAAATTACTCATTATTGACATTTTTGGCCAGGGGCATAACTCGCAAAGTATACATTTGTTCAAAATGGAACTTTTTACACAATTACCTCATATTTTGAGCCACTTTGTCTTAGAATTTTGGTTGTTTCCGCTTCATAGTTCAAAAAAAGGAACAGGTTTTGGAAATTCAAAATTATTTACTTGTTTGTCGTAATTAACTTGCTTAGAATTTATCGCAAAATACTTTTCACCCTTAACCAAATTTGGTCGCACAGCCTAGAAGAAACTTTTTCATCAGTTGGTTTGTCAAAATTTATAGACTATGTTTATGACATGATTATTAACATTCTGTCGACCTGTTTTATCTGTTCATATTGGGTTTTTTGAGAATCCCTACTTAAACATATCCAACATATCGTGAGCTCTTGGACAAGTTTTGATCTGATCTTGATCGTGTATTGAATTTGCTGTTAAATTTTACATCAGATAATATGTCAATGAAAAATGAGTAAGATGGCATTATGGAAATTTCCATGTTCTATTTCTTTTGACTTATGTAATAAAGTATATTCAGGCCAACCCAGAATAAAGCAGATATAGAAATAAGATAGACATGTCTTGAAGCATGGATGACGCAGCCATTTAAATTTTTTTGTCAACATGAAGATCAGATGTTCAATAATGATAGTAGTGGAAGTATTAGCTTGGGATTTGTTAAACAAGTTTCTCCTTTCAGTAACATAGCTGACAGGGACATTTGTTAAGGCATCTGTGTGGGTGAGCAAGTTTAAGAACACAGAACCATAAAGCCCCATTTTCATTACACACAAGAAGCTATAATATTATAAGCCACAACTCTCCACTGTATTGTGTTTATCTGTTATCTTTTTGACTGTAGAATCACATGTAAAGAATTGATACATAATTTTAAGAAGATATGGAGTGAATTTTTAATGAAAGTGTCATCAAGTGTATCAGACTATCTTAGTTTAGAGCATCTTGGAATAATCTTGAAAAAATTGGCTAATTCAGGTAAGCATGGTTTGAACTAAAATTTCAAGTGGATTTTATTTTGTCCTCACATTACAAAGACAGCATGTGAGGCCAAATAACCTGGTTTAGCACAAGATGAAATCTCAATCAAGTTCGAAATTTGAAACAATCAAACGGTTTGGGATTTACTGCCCTTGTCTTAGCAAAAACTCATCAATTTTGGCTAGTATGCAAGATAAAGGCTACAGTTTTTATCCAATCTTAATGAAACGTGGTATGCATGTGTATATTCTCAAGTTCTGAATTGGATGAACATGTGTACGTTGACGAGATCATGATCATGTGTGAATTTGATGATAACTTGACACCCTTTTTTTAGGTTTTGCCTTAACTTACAAATATTTTTAAGTTCATTTGAAAATTCATTATAAAGCCACTACAGACTTTGTTATCATTTCTGACAGCTGATACTGGGCATATATTACTTTGCTTAGCAAGCTATTTTTCAATTTTATATTGTTTTTTTTTTGTAGAAGGGCTGTCAATCAGAAGAAACCTTCCAGCTGGTTTAACTTTAGGTCAACCAAATTTGATTGTTTGTCCGAATGGTTAGTATTAAAATTTTTTTATCTCTAACTTAAAAAAGCAGATGCGCCATTTTTTTGACCATTAATACTTGGTTTCTTTTAGCTAAGCCAATCAGTAATAGTGATCACAGCTCACAGTCAAAATTTGAGCCTTTAAATCCATGTGTGTCCAGAATTATCCGCGTTTGAATGCTAAAGTGACGTCTCATCAATTAAAGATACTCTGCGATATATAGAAAAGACAAATAATGAGTAACATTCCTAGTTTGAAGTATTTTTAAAGGAATTATGCGATTTTCTAAAATTTCTAGTACTTCTGAAGACTTTTTACACATATTCAAGTCTAAAATCATCCCCAACCAATATGGCATACCTGAATCTTTAATATTGTTTTTGTGAACTTTCTTGTTTTGGATTATTTTTGAGTAATGTTCAATGATACTGATCTTTTGATATATTTCAGATGATATGTTGAACTGTTTAACTTATATGTATATGCATCCTGGAGATCAACCCTTACCTAAACCTGATGAAGTTCTGATTTGTTCAAAAGACACAAAGTTTGATGAGGTTTGTCAGACTTTATGTTTGTTAAATTATACTATTATAAGTAGATTATAGTGTAAAGTCAACTGAAAAGACTGTCTGTATCCCAGCCTCTGATAGATATTTTGATAGTTGTTGACTATAAGGATTTTCCACACCTCGGAAGATGCATTTTTCTAACATAATATTAGATTAGATGACTGTAAATTAGTGTTGCATCACTGTAACTCTCATTTAGTTATTATCATGTGACTCTTTGACCCTTGAACTTTAGGCTGCACTGTTCAACAAGAGATCGGTTTCGTTTGGCGGATCCTATTTGAATTAATAGGTTTAGAAAAACCCAATCTTCGGAGGTGCAGAAAATTCCCACAAAACAGGGTTTAAATTCAAGTTCAAATACAATACATCTTTTCTTCAGCTTTAATACATTATGAATTTTTCTACAGTTCATGGAAGTTTACAAATATTGAATTGAACTGACAGTAAATACTTAGATCACATTTATTTACAAATGTAGTTAATGTCCAATTTATGAAATTTTGTTTCCACAAAATCTTTGACAAGTTCAATTTGGGTATTATTCCTCAAATAGTTTCAATCCCTTTGTACTGAAAATTTGTTGTAAGTGGGTTGTGAAAGCGTTGAAGCAGTTTATGTCAGAATTTTGAGGGTAGGTTTATATCCACAAGATCTTGGACAAGTTAGATTTTGAGGACGTTTTAACACATATTGATGATATACTGACAATTAATTTTATAGACAATTTATTGGGTAAGTGGGCGTATCTTGCTTGGCTACGACTTGTATTTTGTAAATGTCTACAACTGTTGCAAATAAGGCAAATGATTTTATTGTAAAATATTATGTTATATTTCAGGTTGATATCTTTCTAAGAAGAGCTTTTTATGATTCTTATAATAAGATACATTGTTTGGCTTTTGCTGATTATTTAGACTATACAGTGGGTGATAAATGTGAAAAAAGACTTATAGAATATGTTCAGGAATGTAAAGGTAAGATATTAGATAGATAAATTTACTTTCACGCTTGATAATATGATATGGATAAATTATATAATCTTCTACTTTAAGAAGAATAAAATATATATCTGAAATGCTAATAAAACTTTAAGTTGGCTTTGCTTATTTTTCTTGGTCAAATCATGCTTAATGTTTGATTAATTGATGTTTCTAATGAATAAATCAAGTATTCTTGAATGCTAAGGACTGAGGTATTAAAAGTACTTCTGACCTCATAGATATAAAGAGGTATTTCATTCTACTTCTCCCTAATTCTGTCCTTCAGTTCCTTTTCAATGAAATACTTCAAATGTCTACATCCAAAGTATATATATTTGGAAAAGCTTTCATCAGTAGTTTGTGCTGAAAATTGTGGTCACTATGACTATATTGGTCATTAATGGCTAGTAAAATGATAGCATTGAAAGTCATTCAAATGGTAAAACTGTAATTTGGTGGAAAGATTTCTATTTAATTATGAGGCCCAAACATTATATTCTTATACTTTTATCTTGAACTCGGTCGGCCAATATAAGTCATGTGTATTGTCCAGTACTGTAATAAAGTGGCATGTCTATTTTAAATAACATAACATAACATGAATATTTATTACCTAATGATAGATAATATTTTACTATTTGTTGATGAGACGATGTTGTAGGACTATTTATAATGTGATTATATTTATTTATATTTTATATTATTGACCTGAACCCATCACCACCTTATTGAATTTTTAGGAAGGAATTATAAATTTGTGGTGTTGTGTACTCAAGAAAATGAATTAAAGACAAAGTTAGTTGGTGCTTTAGAAAACTATAGAAGTCCCCCACCAAAAATTTGTACTTCAAAACTTATCAGTTGCTATTTATCTGAACAATTTACAAAAGCTATACCAGAGTCTGCCAGTGTGGTTGATTTTTCAAGGTATTTTTTTTATATGCTTATATTTTTATATGCTTATATTGAGGACAATGTCTTTGACTCAGTCCTCATCTTCCGTATCAGATAACATTTCCTTTGAATGTGACAATGACTACAGTTTTGATTGGATTTGACAAAACCTGATTTTGATGAATTTCTGTAGTTATTGCCCTTGACTTGAGTGTTTTCTTGATCTCACTAATTTAGTCACATCATCATTCCATAACTAATGTAAGATTATGTGATAGCAACAGCTGAAATAGAGCTCTGGAGATCTCTAAGGTCGAAATCCTTTTAATGATGAAATGTTCACCTTGCTATACAGGATACAATACTGTTTATAAAATGGCTATTGTATGAGTACAATCACTACCGTTTTATATATTAACATTTTTAAGGTCCTTGGTGCGAGTAATTAAATCTGAAAGAGCTGGTGTTGGTAAAACTTTATATAAAACAAGACTAGTAGAAAAATTATCTGAACATCAGGGTAGAAATAAAGAGATTAGTTTAACAATACCATTGTTTGAAAAAGAAGTGAATGTATCAGATATAACAGATAGATTAATGAAATATACTAGACACCCTGGTCATATTCAACCAATGATCTTTCATTTGGATATTTCTTCTGAGGTAAATATCTTAAACCAATAATTGGTATCATTGGTATTTTAAATACTAAAATTTAGGTGGATATAGTTTCATTCTGTTCTAGTTCTGATGAAACATGTACTTGTAACAAGCTGCTATCTTGTACGAGTTCGACAGTAGTGAATATTAAGGAAACTTTTTTCTGGTACAAAAATATGCAACGGTTGTGCTCTTTTTGTAGACAAGAATTTACTGAATTGCTGTGATTCTTTAATTTTTTGTCACTTTATTACTGTATACAAAAAGTAAGTAAAATCAACATGGTCAACTGAAAATGTGTAGTTGTAATTTTTTTTGTTTCCATATCAGGTTCTTGATGGAGTTGATTTTTTCCTGTATAATTTGTTGATATTAGGATGTATCAGGAATAAAGATGGCTATGTTTGGAAAAAATCAGATCATGATTTATATCTTATTGAAAATATTTCTTTCAATAATCTACAAGGAGAAAAGAAGGTGAGGTATAATTACCTGATATCTAGTTTGTGTTTTGTTAAAAGGTAATTGTTATGAGAACCTTTCTGACCTTGGTGAGTTGATCCTGTAATGGAGTGAATCAAAAGGGTGCTGAGAAATGTATAACATCATAAATCATATATATCAGTCGACAGTTTGACAGAGGGGATAATTTGACTTTTGCACAAAAAAAAAAACACATGTGCAAACCATGAATTCAGTTGAACGAAACTAGGTATGGATTTTAAAAAAAAAATATAAACAATAAATTCAAAAAGCTTCAATTGACAAAAGCACAAGAAAAAAAAGTTTTGCAGAATATTTTGTATGCTTATGCAAAATGATAAAATTAATCTTTTTATTCCCCCACATATTATTGTATATTGTTGTATATTGTAATCGCCCCTTTGGTCCATCATACTCACTCTACAGGCTATAATTCTGTATGGAAATGTGGATGTATATTGCTGTTGCCTCTGTCTGTCGGTTCCTCTGTCCACATTTCTTGTAAATTTTTTTACAGATACTTCTGCCCTTTCTTAAATTACTAATTTTTTACAGATATTTCTACCCTTTCTTAAATTACTAATTTTTTACAGATATTTCTGCCCTTCCTTAAACTACTAATTTTTACAGTTATTTCTTCCCTTTCTTAAATTACTAATTTTTTACAGATATTTCTACCCTTTCTTAAATTACTAATTTTTTACAGATATTTCTGTCCTTTCTTAAAGTACTATTTTTTTACAGATACTTCTGCTCTTTCTTAAATTACTAATTTTGTACAGTTATTTTTCCCCCTTCTTAAACTACAAAATTTTTACAGATATTTCTGTCCTTTCTTAAAGTACTATATTTTTACTGATATTTCTACCCTTTCTTAAACTACTAATTTTGTACAGTTATTTCTGCCCTTTCTTAAATTACTAATTTTTTACAGATACTTCTGCCCTTTCTTTAACTACTAATTTTTTACAGATACTCCTGCCCTTTCTTTAGCTACTAATTTTTACAGATATTTCTGCCCTTTCTTAAACTACTAATTTTTTACAGATATTTCTGTCCTTTCTTTAACTACTAATTTTTACAGATATTCCTGCCCTTTCTTTAACTACTAATTTTTACAGATATTTCTACCCTTTCTTTAACTACTAATTTTTACAGATATTTCTGCCCTTTCTTAAACTACTAATTTTTTACAGATACTTCTGCCCTTTAACTACTTTTTGTTTTATGGTTATTTTAGCTGCACAAAAGTATTCATCACATATTCGATATTTTACCAAATGTTAGATGTTGGTCACCAACTGAAACACTTTCAATTCTCAAAGGAAATACTCCAAAAGGTAAATTAACATATTCTTTTCTTTATATCGTATCGTATTTATATGTATCGTTTCTATGGTGAAATTTAAATTGTAAACTTATATCGGTAGTTTCCATTGGATATTGATCGAACTCATTATAATCTCTCTATGTGGAAGTATATTGTAAGCAACCACACCTGAGGTTCTGTTTTTTGTATGTCTTCTGGCATTAAAGATATTAGTAATTTAGTAAGTTATTTACATTCATGGTTAATTTTAGTCATTACATGGGAAAATATCCTCTATCACACGAGAACAGCTTTCACCAAGCTGAGTTAGTGTCATTTTAGAACTTGTTAATAATCGAAGTGAAATGATATAGAACAGGATACCGTTATCAAAAAAACTAAAATAAGCACAAATATAGCAGTGAAAAAAATCATAGAAGCTACATTTTTATATGCCCACATGGAAATTTTATTGAACACTTTCTTAAACCTTTGGACACTTCCTTAGCTTAGGCTATTGAACGATCATCATTTTATGAAGCCATACTGGATTCTTACCATGAGAAGAATGTTGAAATGTTACTTAGCAACTACCAAGGAAAGTGACATCATTGAATTTCAACTGACATTTCATGTGTGTCTGTCCCTGAGGAAGGGGGCCTTTGTGCTCTTAAAACATGTTGGGTTTTAGGACTTCTTAGTTTTTTCTATAGCAGATTATTTTCAAACGCCCACATGGAAATGTAGATGTATTGCCGTAGCTCCTTACTATCCGTCCGTTCACATTTCTTGTAGGAACGATATAGACCATCTTGATGTAACTTGGTATGCGTGTATACATTGATGAGATCTCGGTCAAGTTCAAAATTGGTTATAATCATAGGAACGGTTCAGAGTTATTGCCCTTGACATAGTAAAAACACGTCAAATTGACTTGTAAGCACAATAGAGGCTACAGTTTCTATCTGATCTTGATGAAACTTGGTATGCTTGTAAATATTGATGAGATCTAAGTCAAGGTAGAAATTGGTAATAATTAGAGGAAAGGTTTCAGAAATGAAATGAAATGAATGAAGTGTTACGTCCTACTTTTCTGCACCATGTGGGCTAACAGGAAAGGTTTCAGAGTTATTGCTGTGTACGTAGGTGAGACATTGTTCGTGTTTGAAATTGATGATAATTTGAACTGTTTTTGAGGTTTTGTCTACTAGACTTTGATATTTTTAAGATTATTTGAAAATTCCTTTATCTCACTAAAGACTTCTTTATCATTTCTGACAGCTGGTAGTGGGCGTATGTTACCATTCTTGGCAATATGTTGTTTTGATATTTAAGGGTATGCAGAGAATGACAGTGTTTTTGATAAAACAGAGTTTAAAAAGGAAGTATTTCAAAGACCATTTCACTATCTTGATAGTTTAGACAGGAATTTAGCATTAGATACCTTTGAAAAACAACGAGAACCATCAAAAGAAAATATTGCGTCATGTTTAGATGTTTTACTCAGGTGGGTAATTTTTATTAAAAATTTGGTTTGCCAAGGATAATTTAGGAAACAAATCTATTTTTTGGCTTTGCCCAATCTTCACTAGTCAAGCTTTTACAAACTGGGTCATCATTAGACATTTTTCTTGTATCGCAGAAGTTTGTAAATTCTATCACTTTCTTCGAGCAGTTCTGAAAATTGCATCTATTCACAGGTAATGCAGAGAGTTAGACAAGTTATTACCTTACCTGATACTTTTAATAAATTTGTATTGCAGTCTGTAGAACTTGAGGCCTGGACTCATTGTCATAGGGTATCTAGGTGGTATCATTTTACATAGATTCATATATATGTGTACCATTTGAAGAATTTGTATATATTTCTTTACAGGCATTGTGGCATAGAAGATCCATCATGGGCTGAAATTCATCATTTTGCATTGTTCCTAAACACACAATTAAAAGATTGGGAAACATCAACTTTTTGTGGTGGTTATGTTGCTGAAGATTTTCCTGGATTTGCCAAATTTGTTCTCCTTTTTTCCATTGAAATGTCCAGGGTAATTATTGAAGCTAGCATATTTTAGGAAGTTGATGATAATGACTATGAAAACTACTGAAAAGGAGAGCAGAATTATCTTAATCTGGCTTTCAGTGTTGTTTTGATGGAAGAGTAAAAGTAATTTTTTTCACCTATGTCAAATTTAAAATTTGATATTTTAAGTGTGTAATTACAGTAATATTCACCATTTAAGGATTTTGCAACAAGATCATTGAAGATGAGTGAAGAAACACCATTACAAAAACTTGAATCAAGAGATGAAAATGATGATAATAGTGAATTGACTAAGTTTCAGATAAAGAGACACTGGGAATCAAGGTATATGTAAACAGTATTCTATAATTCTATTCATATATTGAAAGTATTCTCTTTAAATTATAGTTCATTCAATCTTCTTGTTGATAATCCCTTTAATTTTAGGTTTGATATTAGATAATGCTTAGTTTAATTTTCAATGACTTTTTTCCAGTCCTCATCCCTATATATTTTTTAATCCTGATCATCATACTATGACCTTCCTGGGATTTAATATTGACCGAAATACTGGTAACCTAGTGGATCAACAAAATGGTCAGATCATTAAGCCAAATCTTATGCCAAAAAATTTATATGATAGTTTAGATAGAAACAGAGCACCTTTAAATGAAAATTTTCAGCAGTTACCAAGGTAGTACAAGCTTTTATATAAATAAACTGTTGAAAGTTGTTATCTAGTAGATTCATTTACCCGGAACTTTCAAAATGTATACCCTGACTTTTTCTCGATTTCTTTATGATACATTTCTGCAACTGCTAAGAATATGACACTCATGAAGGTAGAGTGCTCAAGGCTTCGTCTCGGTGCCTCACTTTAAAAAGAGTAGGTGTATAAACCATGTATATAAACAACAGTAATCTATTTGGTATGAGGCAGGATTATTATTAAATTGTGGTCTGTCTACAATTGTTCAATAAAACACTATAGAAGGCACAATTCTTGACAGATTTTATGACGAAACTTGGATTGACTGTTTCTATTCACCCATGGATGTACCCTATTGAAAATCAGAATTTTTTTTTCTTTATTAGATATGAGTTATTGCCCTTGTTCTTGAAAACACATTCAATTTCTAGCTTGTAAACACTCTAGGAAATACAATTATCGATTTTGATGAAACTTGGTGCGTGTGTTTGTAATCACCCAAGGAAGAATTCTGTTGAAGATCAGAAATTTTTATATTTTATACAAGATCATGAAAACGATATCAATTTTTAACTGAATATTTCACACTCGTGATTGTTACTGTACTGCCAAATATTCTTATTCAAAATCAAAGCTGCCTGTGGGTGTATATTACCTTTCCTGGCAAGCTATCTTTCTTTTTGTTTGCTGATGTATGGAGATTTTGCCTGTGAAAAAGAAAGTCTCATTGTTTCAAAAATTTCAAAATACAATTGATTATCATGTTATGTCATTTATTAATATATATTATATGTAGGTTAGAAGCCATATCTAAACTATGTCTTGTTATGGGAATTGAAAGTCTATATGATCCAGATCCATCCTATGAATTAACACCTGACAATGCCAAGAAGATACTAGCAATTTATATGAGATTTAGGTACTGTTTTTATCTAAATCACACATAATACAATATATTGGTTCAAAATACAACATAAAATCACACATCTTCAGTTCTCAGCAAGCAATAATATGTCTTAGATCTTGCAATATTTAAAATTAGTTGAATATCTATGAAAACCTGACTATGAAAATAGTGTTGGGCTACATAAAGATCTACCTGTAATAGATTGGTATAAAACTATTATCCTTTTGACTTTCTTTAGATGTAATATACCAGTTATAATAATGGGAGAAACTGGCTGTGGTAAAACTAGATTGGTTAAGTTTATGTGTTCACTGCAATGCCCAGTTGGTACTGATGTTCAGAATATGATTCTTATGAAGGTAAAGTGTTTGATATATGTCCATGTAAAGTGTATTAGCATGGTATATGTTTTGATAAATATAATGCTTCAGTGATTATCAACTTAGACTATGAGTGCTATGCAATAATCTATAGATTATGGCGTTGCATAACAAAACTGTAAGCTTCAAGATATGACTTCATAATATTGAATGACACTTGGACAAAATAAAACCCAACTAAAAAAGCGAACGCATTATTTGTAAAATGATTATATTTTCACCCCAAATCTACGCTTGTTCGTGAAAATGAATAATATTCATAGTCAAAGTCTGACAGCTGCACTCATCGATTATGAATCAATGTAGAATTTGACATAAAAACTGCACATGAAATGCAGGTTAAATTTATATTGGAAAAATTATTTGTAAAAGGCTTTTGATAAGGGGTGGGTTTNCCAAGGGGGGGGGGGGAGGGGGGGCTGGGCTATCAACCTTCACCCCCGTCACATTAATCCCATTGTTATTATGACAATTTCTTATTACAATATCTCACTATTGACATATAAAGAGTGTATTTACATTGCCACAGCAGTAATATTCCATTATTTTTTAAAAATATCCAAAATATATAAATTGTGAGAAAGACTTATGTTGTGGAATACAGCTCTTACAGGATTTTCTGCAAAGTAAGACCCAAGAGGAAAATGAAAAAAATTGGTCTCTCATAAGATACTTTATTTTATATCCATGAAAATTAACAATGTATGTATAACAAATCTATTTTAACATTCTAATATCACAGTATAAATTGATAAAACATACTATATCCGTTTGTAAGGTTTTATGAAACAATAATTTTTAACCAAAAAGCTTAATATTTTGCTTACTCTTAACTATTAATAATAAAAATTCAGTTTTTATATAATATTCCGTAGAAGTAATATTTTCATATCTGTTTAGAAGAAAATTATATCAAAAATGTCCATGCCACGCACCAATATTTGTTTAAATGGTGTCAAATTCTAACACAAAAACATGATGCAAAGAAAATGAAAATAATATAATCCAAGCAATCAAAACAATAATGACATAACATAGACGAAGAAGAATTGTCAACAGTGGTCACCAATAAATTGCAGAACTTTTCTATTTAAAAAAAAAATCATTCAAAGCAAACTTACAAAAGTTTATCTATTAATCAACACAAAGTCAATCTAAAACTATCAGTACTATTTAAAAATCTGAATCCGAGGAACATGCCATGATGTACTATCGTCATCGAAGACCTTTATTTCTCAAAATCATATTTGTCTTTCTTTGTATTATGTCAAAATGGAAGTTATGATCGTTAGAAATTTAAGAGAGAACATTTATTGTTCTTCATGAAAAAATTTTGTGAGCTGTTGTGTTACTTTTCCGATCGTAGACAAAACTTCTCTAACGTAGAATGTAAACAAACACTCGCCATTTTTATTTTCTATTTTCGACCAAACTGTTCTTTTAAACATAATTTTAACGACGCATTGTTATGCTCTACAAGGTGTAGCCATTGCCCTACTAAACAAATATAATTACTTGCGTTACAGCTTGAAAAAATCAATCAAAATCTCAAAAATCTTCAATTTTCTGTAGTGAAAGTTGATGGAACAAAATGACAGATACAGACTGCGCGCAAGATAAAGAGAAGCGGCATTTTGATTAGCTGATGGAAGTCGGGCGTTATTTTTGATTGTCAGCTGGCGATACGTCAATTTGGATGTTTTTTTAAAATTATATCACTTAGTGAGAGGATTTTTGTTTACTGGTATATTTGGAATGATTACCATTAAAAACTCTCACTGATACAATAATAATAAAGTGGGGAAAAGGTGGACCTATTTTCTGTAAAATTAAGATGGACTTTCAGAATAACCAGAAAATATTTTGTCAACCAAGAGAATAACCAAACCAACTTTGTCACACTGAAAATGAAACAGACTCTGACACTTAGACCAGAAGATGGCTAAAGTACAATCTACATGTACAATGTATTATGTATTCTGGATTTTGTATGCATTTGGGCTTGATAAAGATATTAGAAATTAAATATAAATATGTTGTTTAATAGGTTCATGGAGGAACAACTCCCCAGAATATCATAGAGATGGTTGATAAAGCAACTGAAATAGCCACTGCTAATGCAAATGAATATGGTGACCACTTTTATACTGTATTGTTTTTTGATGAAGCTAATACTACAGAATCTATAGGCCTGATAAAGGAAATAATGTGTGATGGTACAATGAATGGAAAGAAATTTAATCAGTATAAAACTTTAAAGATTATAGCAGCATGTAACCCATACAGAAAGTAAGATTTGCCAAACTAAAAATTGTCAACACTGATTTTCACAACTGCTACGACCTTCACCTTGACCTTGTGTAAAAATGGCAGGAACTTTAAATGTTTGAAATGTGAATTTTCTTTGTTGACGATGTTCAAAGTTATTCAATATAAGTTGATAAAGAGCTTGGAATTGGAATATAAAATATACCCACATCACTTACATAACCTTGTCTTCCAACTTAGTTATAAAGTTTCACAGCAGTGATCCTTCGCAGCATTAGGTACCAAGGTATTATGTTACCCAAGTTAGAAGACTGTCTTTTCTTTTTTTTTTAGACATACAGATGAATTGATTAAACGTTTAGAAAACGCGGGTTTAGGATACCATGTTGATGCTGACGCTACCACTGATAGAATGGGTTAGCTTTTAATTGATTAAGTAGAAATCCTTGTTTTGATGATGATGATGTCTTTGGGGTTGACCAAAGCACGGAATTTTTCATGATATTATTGACATGTTTATGTCATACACAATTTTTTTTTTAAATCGTAATTTTCCATTTGTTATATTTATATTTAAAGGGGCAATCCGTTTTTTTTTGTAGGTCCAAATTTTTTTTCTCTCAAATTTATGATTACTATTCAACAAAATCTAGAGAAACGTGTCCCTTTAACTAAAAAATCCTGCCTTTTTTTTTTTTGAACGCCAACGCAAGTTCGTTACGCATTTTGGTAGGTGTAAGAAAACTACTGTAAAATATAAGCAAAATAACACCAAATTGTAGAAAAAAAATTTTCTGCAAGGTTTCAACAATTAAATGACATTCTAGTATAATATCATGTAATTGATGTATTTGTACACTGGCTGTAATAAATTGGAAATGTTTATAGGCCGTGTACCCATGAGAAGACTAGTGTATAGAGTACAACCACTACCAGCTAGTATGTTACCATTAGTATGGGACTTTGGTCAGTTGAATACTACGATAGAAAACTTATATATTCAGCAAATGGTGCAACGTGCGGTATGTTTTATGACAGTATTTAATACACAGTGCTCTATAGATAGCTCCTTGTTTTCATTGTACTTAAATTGTATATAATGCAAAATTGAGAATAATGTAAGCAATAGTGAGAGCGCTTTTCACATTCTTTTTTTTTTAGAGAAACTTAATGAATTTTTTAACTTTCACTTTTGATTCTCGATTTTCTTAGTTGTACCCAGTATACTATACTGTACTGTACTGTAATAATATAATTTGATCCTACATGTAGATTGATGAAGAAGAGTTAGGTGATATGCCTAAGTTAAAAGAAACCCTCAGTAGTATTCTAGTAGCATCACAAGATTTTATGAGATCACAAAATGTAAGTTCTTCTTAAAGGTCAGATCTCACTCACCTCAACATGTTTTTCCAAGTCATTTCAATAATACTATGCAAGACTACTAGAGAATTAACTGTGGAAGTCTACAGTACTTGATCAGTCAAAATAACAAGATTCTTGTATCGTTACAGCAATGTTGAACAATAATATTGTCATATTATGACCTTTCTATTTTCAGAATGAATGTAGTTTTGTAAGTTTACGAGATGTAGAAAGAGTGCTAACTGTAATGTGCTGGCTTCTACAACAAGCTGATGAAGGAGATTTATTTGATAAGATTAAAGGTGATGAGAATGATGATGAGGAGTGGGGAGAAAAGACTAATGATGATGAGGAAGAAGATGATGAAGAAGAAGACGAAATGGTTTGTTGGATTATGTTTTTGCATTTGATTTTTGGGAAGGAGGTGTTGGACTATATAGGGTAGTACTGATACTTCATTAAGGAATTCATTTTGGAGAAGAACTATCTGGTGCTTTTGATTGGCTGGTTGATTTTCTTCAGATATCAAATTCTTTTTAAGATATTCATCATGATTAACTTTTTGACTTAAAACATTGTCTTGTTAATGATCAGTCAGTATGATCTTAAAATTTCCTTCATATTTTTCTTGATGCCATAGCATGTTTTTACTTAATTAATGGAAATTATTGCATGGCAAGCTTTCAATCTTAACATGATTCTAGATCTATGAAACTAAATATGCATTGATTTCAACCATTCAATTTTTTACCTTATCTGTTTTGCTAACTATTTACTGTTTTAGGTCAATGATATAACCATAGCCTTGATACTGGCTTTAGCTGTGTGTTATAGATCAGGCTTAAGGTCAAGAGATGAATTTGACAAGGAAATTATTAAAACGTTCAAACCACCATTTTATTTACCTGATGGTATTAAAGAATATCAGAGAATTATTGACAGGTATAATTTATTTACTATGGCAGTTAAAGTTAAATGAAATAAACTAACAGAACTGATATCTGTAAATTTGGAACTCATTTGACCTTTAGGAAGATTCATATCAGAATGCATTGTTGAAAGTCTGAAAGAAAATAGGTAAAGTAATTTTAAACTGTTAGTCATTCAGGTAAAGTTAAGAGTTAACATAGAAAAAGCGTTTGATGGGACAATAAACCAAGATCACCCTTGCTTCAGACTTTAAAAATCTTCAATAGTTGAAAATTGGAAAAAGGTTGCTTGATAATCTTTCATATTGCTCAATTTCTTGACGTTTTCTGTCTTTGATATGATCAAATAATTGATCAGTGAGTTGGTTATGATGCTTTTTATACGCCCACATGGAAATGTAGATGTATATTGCCATCGCCTCTGTCCGTCCGTCCATCCACATTTCTTGTATGCGCAATAGAGGCTACATTTATTATCGGATCTTGATGAAACTTGGTATGCATGTATATAATGATGAAATCTCAGTCTAGTTCAAATTGGAAATGATTGGATGAGTTGTGTGTATGATGAGACCGTGTTCACATTTGAATTTGATGATAATTTGATGAAATGTTTTTGAGGTTTTGCCTTGACTTAAAAACATTTTTAAGATTATTTGTTTTCATTTCTGACAGCTGGTAGTGGGCATATGATACCTTGCCTGGCCAGCTGTTTATTTAATTTTGATTAATGGAATTTGATGAAGTTTGGCAGACATGTACATGCTCAAGAAATGAAGATCAAGTTAATATCTCAGTGTTTTACAATTATTATTAACTTTTTATAGCCCTAGTTTGCAGCAAAATGATTTCTGATCTATTTATATTTTTATACGCCCACATGGAAATGTGGACGTATATTGCTGTCGCCCCTGTCCGTCCACATTTGTTGTATGCACGATAGAGGCTACAGTTTTTATCTGATCTTGATGAAACTTGGTATGCTTGTATATATTGATGAAATTTCGGTCAAGTTCGAAATTGGTACTAATCAGATGAACGGTTTCAGAGTTATTGCCCTTGACTTAGTAAAAACGCATTAAATTTGGCTTGTATGCACGATAAAGGCTACAGTTTTTATCTAATCTTGATGAAACTTAGTATGCACGTATATATTGATAAGACCTCAATCAAGTTCGAAATTGGTAATAATCTGATGAATGATTTCAGGTTTATAGAGACTGCATTATCCGATCTTGATTAAAATTGGTATGAGACCTTACTAAAGCTTGAAATTAGTAATTGGTTTCACATATTAAACCACTACAGACTTTGTTATCATTTCTGACATCTGATAGTGGGCGTATGTTACCTTGCCTGGCATGCTATCTTCGCATACTGCCAAAACTGAAAGTTGTTTTACAATTTGGCAAACTGAAGTGTTTGATGTGTTTCAACATCACATTTTTTCTCATTTTCAGATGTCAAGAAAGTTTCTTAGAAGATGTTGATTTGGGTACAAATATTGCTAAAAACCATGCCTTGAAAGAAAATATTTTTTTGATGGTTGTTTGCATGGAACTAAGAATACCTTTATTTCTGGTTGGTAAACCTGGCAGCTCCAAGTCACTGGCTAAAACTATAGTAGCGGATGCTATGCAAGGAAACTCATCCAGATCTGAATTCTTCAAAAATTTTAAACAGGTAATTTGGACTAGATATATACAATATTTGCTTATGCTTAATTCTTATTATTAATTATTGCTGTACTTCAAGCTTAATGCATATCAAAAGATATTTGATTATTGGAAAAGGTCAAGTGTTCTGAAACCCAATTAAAAGTTCTGACACAAACTTTGGCAGTATAAATTTAGTTTAATGCAGTACATGTCTCGCTCTGTCTATTGTAGCTACATTCCTGATTATGCTTGTATAAATTGTTTCTAAAAAAAATTAACCCATTTCTGTTGTTCAAATAAGGTTGATAACTTTAATAAGTATAAGTTTACATCAATTGTTCAAATTCCATACCTTCATCTTCTGTATTTTAGACTCACATGGTTTCATTTCAATGTAGTCCTCTTTCAACTGCTGATGGTATATTGAGTACTTTCACTCAATGTGCCAAAATACAAAAAGATAAAAATCTTGATGCATTTGTTGCTACAGTTGTATTAGATGAAATTGGATTGGCAGAAGATTCATCTAAAATGCCTTTAAAGGTAATTTTTGATTCTCATATATATTTTGGCTACAAAGAGATTTGTTTTCTTTGCATATATACCAAAGTTCTAAATTGGGTACATGCAGCTCAGCTGTCTACATGCTGTAGAATTTTCTTGTTGAATACATCTGGTAGCTATTCAGTAAATGAGTTTTTAGCTCATACATTAAAAGTCCTATACAGGAAGTAAAGTAAAGTAAAGTCAGCGGTCCTGATGAGTATTTTATATTTGAAGCTTGTGTCTTAAGCACAAAAAAAAAGAAAGAAACCTATATTTTACAATGGTAACAATTTAAGTTTATTACAATCCTTTCTACTAAGTAGTCCTTCCCCAAACGTCTTTTCAAGGTTGACTGGAATTCTTCCAGCGTATCAGACTTTCACAAAATGTCAGTTCTTGAAAATATGAAATAAGGAACAGAGAGGTAGTTTTACTGTGAAATCATTCATTTATTGCATCAAATTACAATTAATATGAGTTTTATTGTTTTCTATTTGACATGACTGATGTAATAGTAAGTTATGTCCCATGAATGAAATTATTGTTTGTCATTCACACTTACTAGTTAGTGGGGACTAGCTAAACCATGAAATCTACAGAAAGTTGATTCCAGGCAAGTATTAATGACTTCACAGTAATCTACATGTATCCGTAATGAATATGAAGTATCTGTGTTTTAGACGCTCCATCCTTTACTAGAAGATGGCTGCCAAGGAAATGAGAAAGCTGAACCTTTCATGAAAGTAAGTTGATCTGCAAAAGTGTTAGTGTTAGTCCTGTCCTGTCCTGTCCTGTCCTGTCCTGTTAAATTTTGAACTGAAAATAGTTTCTCGAGGGATTTTTATACGCCCACATGAAATGGGGGGCGTATATTGCCGACACCCATGTCCGTCCGTCCACAATTACACGTAAACACTCTACAAGACACAATTCTTGACGGATTTTGACAAAACTTGGTATGAGTGTTTGTAATCACCCAAGGATGAACCCTGTTGAAAATCAGAAGAATCGAAAAATATTTAGTATAAGTTATTGCCCTTGTTCTTGAAAACGCGTTCAATTTTTAGCTCGTAAACACTCTAGAAGGCACCATTCTTGACAGCTTTTGACGAAACTTGGCATGAGTGTTTGCTATCACCCAAGGATGAACCCTATTGAAAATCAAAAGAATCGAAAAATATTTAGTATCGGTATGAGTTATTGCCCTTGTTCTTGAAAACGCTTAAATTTTTAGCTCGTAATCACTCTGGAAGGCACAATTCTTTACAGATTTTGATGAAACTTGGTGTGAATGTTTGTAACCACCCAAGGATGAACCCTATTGAAAATCAGAAGAATCGAAAAATATTTAGTATGAGTTATTGCCCTTGTTCTTGAAAACGCTTTCAAATTTAGCTCTAAAACACTAAAAGGCATGATTGTTGCTGGATTTTGATTTTGGTTTTCTTATTCAGTCCCGCACTGAAGATCGAATATTTGCCTTCTAGAGTGTTCACAAGCTAAAAATTGAACACGTTTTCAAGAACAAGGGCATACGCAATATTATTCAGTATCGTCCTAAATAGTTCAAAAGAAGTGTACGACTGAAGGTTGAATATTTCATACTGGTGATTGTTACTGTACTGATAAATATTTTTATTCAAAATCAAAGCTGCCAGTGGGCGTATATTACCTTGCCTGGCAAGCTATCTTTAATTTGTGAAAGGGCTAGTAGGCACATTTTTGACAGATTTAAATGAAATGTGTTGAAATTGTTCATTATTTCCCAGTGCTGTACCCTATAGATATTACAGGTTTATTTTCAACATAGAGAATTACGATAATTATGCATGAAACTATATCTAAACTTTTTATATAGTTTTTATACGCCCACATGAAATGGGGGGCGTATACTGCCATCACTCATGTCTGTCGGTCCGTCCGTCGGTCCGTCCACAATTGCTCGTAAACACTCTACAAGACACAATTCTTGACGGATTTGGACAAAACTTGGTATGAGTGTTCGTAATCACCCAAGGATGAACCCTATTGAAAATCAGAAGAAGAAATTCTTGTTTTTGAAAACGCATTCAATTTTTAGCTTGTGAAAACTTGAGAATCAATTCAATCTTCTGAATAATATAACCAAGTTTTGTCAAATTCAAGAGCTAAATTTGAAAGCGTTTTCAAGCACAAGGGCAATAACTCATACTAAATATTTTTCATTTCTTCTGATTTTCAATAGGGTTTATCCTTGGGTGATTACGAACATTCACACCAAGTTTCATCAAAATCCGTCAAGAATTGTGCCTTCTAGAATGATTACGAGCTAAAAATTGAACAATGGCAATAACTCATACTCAATATTATTCAGTATCGCCCTAAAGAGTTCAAAAGAAGTGTATGACTGAAGGTTGAATATTTCATACTGGTGATTGTTACTGTACTGATAAATATTTTTATTCAAAATCAAAGCTGCCAGTGGGCATAGATTACCTTGCCTGGCAAGCTATCTTTATAAATTTAACATTTCCTATTATAATTGATACGAGGCCGGTGTTTTCTTGTTAACGGTTTCTTAGCGTCTGGGAAAGGAATTCCGATGCTACAGACATGCGCAGAAGGTTTTGTTTACAAATGGCGACAAATTTTAGTTCAGAAACATAAAAATTAATTGTATTTGTGTACTTCTACTGTTGTTACATGTAAATTATGGATTATTATCATTATGGAAAAATTCACAAAATCACAATAATGAGAAATGAGATTTAAAAAAAATACTTACGTAACCGTTTAAGAATTATTTTATCGATTGTGACTTACCACTTGGATTTTTCACTTTGAAACTTTCACGAAAGGTAAGGGGCATCTTTCTCTACATGTTGACATGAAGAATTATTTATTTCACGATCAAGACCACAAAAACTCATTGAAAAAAAACGGTCTAGCCCTTTTAAAAAAAACTTTATAAGTATTTCATATAAGCAGAAAATCGACAAATATTTAATATGGGTTATAGCCCTTGTTCTTAAAAATGTATTCAATCTTTAGCTCTTAAAACAAAATTCTGAACTGATTCAAATGAAACTTGTTGAAAATCTAAATTAAGTCTTTGAATAAAGCTTGTGCAGTATGAAAGTGTTACTCGCGAAATATTTAATTTATTGATAGCTCGGATGACTTGGCTGCCATTACAATGGTGGGCTTATTACAATGGGCCATCGCTTTTTTTATCTGATTTGATAGAACTTTGGTGTGATTATTTATATTGATGAGATCGTAGTCAAATTTGAAATAGATGATTTCCCTTGACTTGGTAAGAACGCCTAGGATGAACCCCATTGAAAATCAGAAAAATCTAAAGATATTTGGTTTGAGTTATTATTACCCATGTTCTTGTGTTTGTAATCACCCAAGAAAATGAAAAAAAATGAAAAATATTTAACATGAGTTATAGCCCTTGTTCTTCAGATTTGAAGAGATTTGGAGAAATTGTTTACTATTGTTATTATTTTATGTGAGTTATTGACCTCGTTCTTAAAAAACGCATTTAATTTTGATTTCGTAAACACTGAAAGGCACAACTCTTGCCAGATTTTGACAAAACTTGTATGACCCCTAAAAGTTCAAAAGAAGTGTATGACTGAAGGTTGAATATTTCATACTGGTGATTGTTAATGTACTGCCGAATATATTTATTCAAAATCAAAGCCGCCATTGGCAAGCCATCTTTTCTTTCAAAATGATTGACTGGTTGAAGAGCTATGCACTAGCATTAAAATGATGCTCAATGCCCTGCTCAATCAACCCATTTGAAAATGACCCCACCTATTGCAACAGATGGTTTGCTTTTATTTGTATGACACAAATTGTTAAGTGTTTTGTTAGGATGTGGACTTTGTAATCAGTATATGGGCTTGTGAAAGATTTATGAAATTTTAATTGCTTCCCATATAAATCTGGAATTTGCTTTGGACTGACTGGACTGAACGTTACTGAACATAACTTTCCAGGTTGGTTTTATTGGCATTTCAAATTGGGCTTTGGATCCAGCTAAAATGAATCGAGGTATATCAGTACAAAGAGAAATTCCCGATGATGAAGAACTTATGAATACAGCAGAGTAAGTATAAAGCTAATACTATGACATATCTCATACCATTTTTATACGCCCACATTAAATGGGGGGCGTATATTGCCGTCACTCATGTCTGTCCTTCCGTACGTCGGTCCGTCCATAATTGGTCATAACCACTCTATAAGACACAATTCTTGACGGATTTTGACAAAACTTGGTATGAGTGTTCATAATCACCCAAGGATGAACTCTATTGAAAATCAGAAGAATCAAAAAATATTTAGTATAAGTTATTGCCCTTGTTCTTGAAAACGCGTTCAAAATTTAGCTCGTAAACACTCTAGAAGGGACAATTCTTGACAGATGTGAACGAAACTTGGCATGAGTGTTCTTAATCACCCGAAGATGAACCCTATTGAAAATCAGAATAATCGAAAAATATTTAGTATGAGTCATTGCACTTGCTCTTGAAAACGCGTTCAATTTTTAGCTCTTAAACACTAAAAAGCATGATTCTTGGATTTTGACAAAACTTTGTTTTATTATTCAGTCCTGCGCTGTAGATGGAATATTTGCCTTCTAGAGTTTTCACAAGCTAAAAATTGAACATGTTTTCAAGAACAAGGGCAATAACTCATACTCAATATTATTCAGTATCGCCCTAAAGAGTTCAAAGAAGTGTATGACAGAAGGTTGGATATTTCATACTGGTGATTGTTACTGTACTGCCAAATATTTGTATTCTAAATCAAAGCTGCCAGGGGGCGTATATTACCTTGCCTAGCAAATATGTCAAAATTTGCGAAATCAATAGTTTTGATCAGACTTTGATGAAAATTTGGATTTATATTTATATTGAATTTCTTATTATTTATGGTAGCTGGCAAATTTGCACTCTTGAAATGTCTGCAGGTCAAAGAAAACAAAAGTTTAGTTACTTTAACACTTAAATATACAAACTTCCCTCCCTGGAAGTAATTCCTGATTTGCACTGAATGGCCCAAAATCAAATTTCAAATCCAGAAAATTCAGTCAGATTGAACAAAGAAACTTTCATTCCGTTTTTATTAAGCTTTTGTTTTTGATATAGCCACTTCAGTTAGGGTCTAAAGACAGGCCTCTTAAACATTTGTCAACATAACCTTTTGACCTAACCCTGTGTTATGCCTGTAAATTGACAAGTAATCCCACTTTACATAAATAAATGGATATGCATTTATCCATTTATTATTCTGTTTTTGTAGTGGTATATGCTCCAGCTCTAAGACAGTACACAACAGAATAACTCCTGTATTATCCGACTTAGCAAAATCATACTTAAGTATATTTGAAAAAGCAAGAGAAAAGAGAGAATTCTTTGGATTGAGAGATTTTTATAGTTTGGTTAAGATGGTGTATGGATTTGCTGAGGAATTCGATAAAACTCCATGTTGGCATCAACTTGAACATTGTATAAAAAGAAATTTTGGTGGTCTAGATACTATTGATGCTGTAAAAGTTTTCAAAGATAATTTGAAAAATGTCAGTACAGAGGAAAAGGTAAATTCCATTTCTTAACATGATTGACTATAGTATTTAAAAGATAATCATTTGATATCTGTATAATTCATGATATAAAACACAATGGAGTTGAATGGAGTTGAGTGAAATCAACTTTATTAGTTGGATATTGTACATACAAATACTCAATTGAGTAGTGACAACTTATATAAAGTTCTTCTTCCGTCATATGGCGAAACCCATATTTCCAAACGGAAACTAACTTTTTTTTATTTTGTACGAATTATTGCCTTCGTTCTTGAAAATGCATTCATTTTTAGCTCGTAAACACTCTTGCCTGATTTTGACAAAAATTATATTGTTTATCATCACCCCAAAAAGTTTAAAAGAGGTGCATTAAATATTTCATAATGGTGATTGTTACTGCAATACCAAATATTTTTATTCAAAATCAAAGCTGGTAGTGGGCATCTTTTACCTTGCCTAGCAAGCTATCTTTCACCATGTCCAAATTTGGTTTGTGAAATCAATAGAGTTTTGATTAGACTTTGATGAATATTTGGATTTATATATATATTGAATGTTTGAAGTGAAATATTTTCATCATTGCTTGAACTATTGCATTTGACTATATTGCGAAAAATGTCTGTGAATGTGATAAAGGCTACTGTCAAACTTGATATGTTTATTTATATTCATAAGTCATGAGACATTGGATGTATTAAAATTGGTCAACCTATTATGTTGCCCTTGACATGAAGGGATTGAAAAGAGGTTTTCCAGCCTTTTTATGTGCATCGGGGACTTCCATTTGAGACATTCCAATTCTTCTTCCGATGCCTGTGGTTCCTGCAATTCCAGAAATGATGGAGCTCCCTCAAGAGAATTTGTAACAATCTACCACTATACCACAATAACGTAATAATATATGTTATCTCCCCTTACAAGATAGAAGCATTTCTAACTAAAAATTGCACTCATTTATTTATTCCTTCACCATTGCCTTATATAGTTTTAACGGACTGGAAGAGACATTCTGTGAGTAATTTGACTTTCGCTGTATAAACCCAAGTCCTAAACATGAAACTACAAATATTTCATGATCTAATAACTGTAGAGGTTTGAACATAAATTAACATTGTACACATGATAACAGACATAACACCATTTATGGAGTGGGCATGGCACATCCAGTATAGATTCACATTTACCTTCTATATTTGAAATTTTTGTTATGCAATGTATCCATTTCTCATCATCCATTAAATTTGCCATAAAAAAGGTCAATATTTTGGCCAATTTGCAAAAAGAGTAAGTTTCTTTGGTCTTTTTTACTTTTAAAAAAGGAACAGGATTTACGATTTACAAAAAAAAATGTCAAAGGTTATTGCTCTTGGTTGTCCATTCATACATTCATCTTTGATATTTGACATCTACTTTAGGTTTTACACGCCATCAAAAACTTTCAAGACATATATCTCGACCCTTACCTTTGGTGACATTGTGATCTACTCTAGCCATTAATATCTTCATTTGAGTTGTGCTATGTTAATTATCAGTCAATAGACCTGGTCTTATATGCCCACATTATAATGTGGTCTTATATTGTTGTTGTCCCTGTCTGGCCACTCGTCCTTCCACAATTTGCTTGTGAACACAATAGAGGCTACAGTTTTTATACGCCCACATAAAATGGGGTGTGTATATATTTTCGTCACCCACGTCCGTTCGTTCACATTTACCTTGTGATGGTTTTATACTGTTTACATTTTCAAAGTTTTTATGACCTTGACCTTTGTTGACCTTCCCCGTAACAAGGTCAATGCAATCTGCTGATACTTTCATATTTGATGTCAAGCATGTGACCTAGGGGGTTTTTCAGATTCTCTAGCAAATTGGTTCAAAGTCCCACTCTGTGCCACATGTGGCTCTAGTTTAGTTTTTTAATTATACAGTTTGAAGTTGTATTTTAAAAGATTAAGTCTGCCATGATATTTTGGGTATATTGCAAAATTGAGTGTAATGTTCTTTCAGCCTCATGAAAATGATCCTGATTGTAGTGCATTGGGACTGATAGAAGCTGGGTTGTTTGGAAAAAGTTCTCAAAGGTAATGAATAGACAATATTAGCTATAAATATTTTTTTGTGTTGACCTTTCAAGAAGGAATCCAAAAGTTGCTCAAAAATTCGCAACTTTAAATTTAGGTGTTGCTCCACAGCTGCAAATTAGGCAGATAAATAAGTTCAGCAAAGACAACTATTATGGATATACTACTCCTTTAATTTAATTTTGCAACTTTTCAATTCACATACAGGAATCTTTATCAAGCATGGAATGTTCTACCTACTTCCAAATGTCATTTAAATATAATAGATAAATAAGTATCTAGATTAGTTCTTTATTATGAAGAAACCTGTGAAAATTTTGTAAAAATCCAGCCAACGACATTAAGTTTCGTTTAATTTCATTCAATTTTCTTAACTCAAAACCTTAACTTGCTATTCTTGGCATACTATTTTTTTTTAATTTTAGTTAAAAACTTATGACAAATTTTGTATGTAAAGGAGTCTTGAATGTAACTGAAAATCATTCCTTTGAAATATCTGATTTTAGTGATAGCAGATATCTGCTTCTGCTGACAGAAAACTATGGTGCATTAGGTATTTTACAAGAACAAATATTGCAGAAACATCGTGTTCAAACAATATTTGGTTCAAGTTTTCCAAGAGACCAGGAATATACACAAGTAAGTAAAATTCTAATTTGTATTAAAAACAAAATAGCTATTGGCTCCGTCACACCAGAAAGGTTCTTAATGCACTGCTACTGGGACAGAAAATTGTGCAATTTTCGTCACTATTCGTGTTTCTGAGGACATGTTTAAAACAAAGGTTCGTGGATCTATTCTGAAACGCAAAGAAAACGCCATGAGATCAGGAGAGTCGTTCAAAAGCTTTGTAACATCTGTTGAGCGGTACAAAAGTGCAGTAGACATAGTAATGTCTCTGTAATATCAATAGAACACAATATGGTCGCATAACTAACGGAATGAGGTCGACTGTTTTTAAGTTTGTAATTTTTAAGGACTTTTTTTTCTAGTTTTCGTCACGTTTGACCGCCACTTGTACATTTCATGTTGGTGTAAGATTGCAAATTGTTGCTGTCCGATGTGACAGGGTTATATAATTTAGAATGTGTTTTGTACTCTTTGTTTGGACAAATATTGTTTACAACCATGTCTTTCCGTTCGCCACTTTTTTCAGTTTTCAACTGAATTTGGTTTTGTACATTGGTTCAATTCTTGTAAAAAAAATAGTAAATCATTTACCAATGCAGTTTGCTGTGAGGACACTCAAGGTTACCATCAAGACTATATGCCTAGTAGAGTCTAATATGTGTTGAGTCATTCTTCATATTGTGATGAACCCTTTTTATTTGTTACTAACTCAGGTCTGTCGCAATATCAACAGAATTAAAGTCTGTATGGAAACTGGTAATACAGTTATATTGTTAAATTTAGAGAATTTATATGAAAGTTTATATGATGCCTTAAATCAAGTAAGTACTTTGAACAAAATGAGTTAATGTAGTAGACCTCTTAATTACAGCTTTCAAGTTGAGTTCAAAACTGTATTGTTTACATTAAATTTTTGATTATTTGTTTTTTTCATCAAAAAAAGACTGTAAACAATATGGCCTTGTGTTTAATTAATTGTTACTGTCTGTCAAAACTTATATTTTGATTTACAGAAGAATGTAGACCCAATTTATGATAAATGATGTCAATATCAATAATGAGAAAAAACTGCCCTTTCTCAAATATGTGTGGGGGTACACCTCATCTGAAAGTATCTTTATCAATTCGGTTTTAATGATGTAAAAAATGATATGTTTTGAGGAGGCAATAAAGACGTAAATGTGGCAATTTCACTGGAACAAACAATGCTACCCTTTTTTGTTCATATTATCAGCCTCATTCTGGATTCAGTAGGTCTATAACACTGAGTGCCTAATACCTTGACATTGTGATGATGCTGTCTCACATACTCTGTATATTCTTTTCTTACAGTATTATGCAAAATTTGGCGGTGAAAGATACGTTGATCTAGGTTTAGGTTCACATCGTGTCAAATGTCGTGTACATAAAAACTTCAGGTAAGAAGTGTTACTTATATGAGTTATTGACCTTGTTCTTGAAAACTCATTCCATTCTTGGCTCGTAAACACTAAAAGGCAGAATTCCTGTTGGATTTTTAACAAAACTCCGTAATATTGAACAGTATAACCCCAAAAAGTTCAAAAGAAGTTTATGTCTGAAGTTGAATATTTCATACTGGTGATTGTTACTGTACTGCCAAATATTTGTATTTAAAATCAAAGCTGCCAGTGGGTATCTTATTACCTTGCTTGGCAAGCTATCTTATAGATTGAAGCTGCTATGAAATTTATAACCTTTTGTTCTACAGTAATTTTTGTATAAAGGATTCAATTGCTCTACAAGACACAATTCTTGACTGATTTTGATAAAACTGTGTATGAGTGTTTATTATCAACCAAGGATGAACCCTATTGAAAATCAGAAGAATCAAAAAATATCAGTATGAGTAATTGCCCTTGTTCTTAAAAATGCGTTCAAGTTTTAGTCAGTAAACACTCTTGAAGACCCAACTGTGAAAAGATTTTTACGAAACTTTGTAATCTTATTCAGTATCGCCCCAAAAAGTTCAAAAGAAGTGTAAGACTGAAGGTTGAATATTTCATACTGGTAATTGTTACTATTCTGCCAAATATTTCAATTTAAAACCAAAGCTCTCAGTGGGCGTATATTACCTTGCCTGGCAAACTATCTTTGCTCTTTAATGAGTCTACTTGTGACTTTCATATCAGTCAGTTTTGCCCCATTCTTTAAATTATTATTTGTTTTTATATTTTAGACTAATTGTTGTCGCTGAAAAGAAGGTTGTTTATGAAAAGTTTCCAATTCCACTGATAAATCGTTTAGAGAAACACTTTCTGACACTTGATAATATAATGACAAAAGAACAGGCTGAGGTTACTCAAAAGCTTAAAGATTGGGCTAGTAAACTGTCTCAAACTGAGAGGTAAGAAAATACAGCTACTTTAAAACTTTTTCGACCGATTTTGATGAAACTTAAAATGGATGTTATTGGACCTAAATCGAAAGGTTTGAGAGAGTTTAGTTTACTTCTGATTAAATTTAAGGCTTTTTCAAGATTTAGGCCTCTTACGTCAGTTTTGAGGAGTTATCGCCCTTTAACCTCTATACAGTAAGTGCTTCTATCAACATCAATTGCTTCAATTTTTTGATGGAATCAAATTAAATTCGGTATGTGTATACATATTCTTAAAACGAAGATCAAGTTCGAATTTGAGCTATTTTCGACTGTTAGAAGCAGAGTTATAGCCCTTGCCCCAAAATCTTGAATATGCTATTACTCTCTTAGTTTTCAACCAATTTTGATGAAACTTAAAATGGATGTTTCGTTTTTACCATCCACATGCCGTGAAGGGCGTATATGGCTATGGTCCACTATCTTTTAATGAGCTTTGAGAAAAACTATTTGCACTGACCGAAAATATCGTCCATGAAATGAACCGAATGTTAGTTAGTATTCTCGTAACATGAATCTACATTTACATAAAGATATAGCACTGATGATCAGGAACCACCACATTTTTTGCTTATCAGTGTAACGTTTCAGTCTTAGTCAAACATAAAATAGTATTGTTACTAAAATCAAGTCTGTTGTTTAGTAGATACTATTTAAGAAATAAAGATAAAGGAAAAGTAGAAGAAGCTTTCATGGGTTATCATTCTGATGCTGCAGCAGCCATTGTTTTAAAGCTGTGGAATGATTCAGACCAACAAAACGTGAGTTATTATATTTCTCATTTCATCATATTACACAAAATAGCTCTTATAATTGAATTGTGTCAATTGTCCTGTTATGGTCAGTGTTAACAAGTCATTTGAAATTCATAAATATCCATAGTCTTACATGCAACTATATGCAAGGATGATTTCATTTAAAAAGGTCAATCTGAGCTAAAAATGTTAAAGATATACTGTGAGCTAAAACTGCTTTTTGCTCATATGGATATGTCCTTTAAATTCAATTTCTATTTCTATCTGTATCTCTTTAATCTGATTATAGACGACCCAGGTTTTTATTATGAAAATGAGCACCATCAGGTGGTAGAGTAAACATACAGATGACTTTATCTCTGTAGATCTCTTTAACAGTATATCTATTCATCTTGGAACATGTTTTAGATATTTGAACTATGTAAGAAAGAATTGTTATGGTGCAGTACCCCTGAAGCTGTTTTACAAGCAGAGAACAGCCCCATAGCAGCAGAGAAAGATTTCTTGAATCATGTTTATTTTGTTGAACAACAACATACTGATATATTTTCCTATGTTTTACCAAGGATCCAAGGTTCAAACACATTATTTGCTCAGGTAATTCATAACAATTCATTGTTTAAGACTAGTGCTTTGTTTCACTTAGCAAATTATGAAACTTTGTCACTTTGTCAATGTTGTCGATCAACCTTTACCAGTGGGTCAAGGGCTGCCCAGTTTGGATTTATTCCAAAAATAATTGTAAGGAATATGATTAAAAATAGGTAGGAATTAGATCACTTTAAATGTTGATGTTTTCAAATATTTGAATATACAGTATTATTATTTCCTTGAGATGTTGTCTTATAGTGTGCAAATTATAAAATTAGATATAATGTTTGTATATTCATCATATTCTGAGTCATTCTGATTACAGAAGCAAGTTACATTAGAGAATGAATAGCCTATGTGTCGTCACTTAACACTCAATCAACAGAATTAACTTAGCTGTCCAAGTACATGTGGATTTATTCATTTTGGATGAAGAAAGCCAAGAATCTGAATGTATTGAGACCCAGAAACTTATTTTGTTCTTTTTAGATAACAACACATTCAACTTTATTAACAGATGAAGAAAAAAAAGCCTTTCTACTTCCACTCAGAAATATTCTGTTATTAAATCTGCAGTCCTTTGATACTGAACAACAATTCTGTCAACAAATCAAGTAAATACAACTTTCAATTTTATACAACCACATTTAGTTGTCATATATTGTCATCGCCCCTGTCCGTCCGTCCACAATTGGATTGGATAGAGGCTACAGTTTTCATCTGATTTTAATGAAATTATTGTTATGATCATTTATAATGATGAAATCTTGGTCAAGTTTGACTTGAAATTGGTTGGTGAACACTATAGAGACTACAGTTTTCATCTGATTTTAATGAAATTATTGTTATGATCATTTATAATGATGAAATCTTGGTCAAGTTTGACTTGAAATTGGTTGGTGAACACTATAGAGACTACAGTTTTCATCTGATTTTAATGAAATTATTGTTATGATCATTTATAATGATGAAATCTTGGTCAAGTTCGACTTGAAATTGGTTGGTGAACACTATAGAGACTAGTTTTCATCTGATTTTAATGAAATCTGGTGTGATCATCTATTACAATGAGATCTTAGTCAAGTTTGAATTTGACGATTTTGCAATGAGTGAAATTTGAGTTATTGTCCTTAACTTAGTAAAAATGCAACAAAATTTGTTGGCAGTTTATGTCAAAATTTTATGAAATTTTGTGTGTTTGATTAAATCAACAATATTTTGTACAAATTAGGTTTTTGGTACGATTTGACACAGATTGGCGACCGCTTTTGATATATTAAAAATTTATCAGGGAAGTGGGCGTATATTGCTACGCATTTACTTGTTGAATATTCTTTTATGTGATAATGTGATAAAACACGAGATCTGCTAAAAAAAAAAAATTTTGTTTATTCCCGAGAAAGGGTATTCTGAATTATTGGACTACTCTAGTTTTCTATAGCAGATTATTTATTGGAATGTTCACCCATGTGTTGTGCTATAAGGTATCCTATACTGTTCTATAGCACAGTCAGTTAGAGCGTTGGTTTTCTTCATGATGTAATTTGCATAGTAACGTCAAGCAAATGTCGGCTTTGGGTCCGATCTCAAACAATCTTTATGATTTATCAAACAAACTTTATGTTTTATCAAACAATCTTTATGTTTTATCAAACAAACTTTATATTTTATCAAACAAACTTTATATTTTATCAAACAAACTTTAACCACAAAATGACCACAATCTTATTAAATAAATTGATCCACACACAGAAGCTATCATCTTTACTACAAGGGGGACAAATTATATCTGTCTGTGTTGATAGCTTGTGCCAGGCTTAAAGTTTTGTGAAAAAAAAAGATAAGCAAATGTCGGCTTTGGGTCCGATCTCAAACTCTATGTTTTGTCAAACAAACTTTATGATTTATCAAACAATCTTTATGATTTATCAAACAAACTTTATGTTTTATCAAACAATCTTTATGTTTTATCAAACAAACTTTATGATTTATCAAACAAACTTTATGATTTATCAAACAATCTTTATGTTTTATCAAACAAACTTTATGATTTATCAAACAATCTTTATGATTTATCAAACAAACTTTATGTTTTATCAAACAATCTTTATGTTTTATCAAACAAACTTTATGTTTTATCAAACAATCTTTATGTTTTATCAAACAATCTTTATGTTTTATCAAACAAACTTTATGTTTTATCAAACAATCTTTATGTTTTATCAAACAAACTTTATGTTTTATCAAACAATCTTTATGTTTTATCAAACAATCTTTATGTTTTATCAAACAAACTTTATGTTTTATCAAACAATCTTTATGTTTTATCAAACAAACTTTATATTTTATCAAACAAACTTTATATTTTATCAAACAAACTTTAACCACAAAATGACCACAATCTTATTAAATAAATTGATCCACACACAGAAGCTATCATCTTTACTACAAGGGGGACAAATTATATCTGTCTGTGTTGATAGCTTGTGCCAGGCTTAAAGTTTTGTGAAAAAAAAAGATAATATTATTATTTCTGAATTATGTTGTGGATGTATGTTATATTAACTATATTTATATCAATCTTTTATAGAAATTTTGGTCAGAGCTGTACTGAGGGGAATAAAATATTGATTATACAATGTGACAGTCATGGTGGTACTACAAATTTAGTAAAGAGTGCTCAATATTGTGTTGATGATAATTTACCGAAGTATCTAAATAATTATCATGTAATATTCATAGTTCAACTTGATAGAATGACACAACAACAATTTACTGGTTATCAGGTAAAATCCATCAAAAACAATATTACTACTTGACGTGTTTTTAGTAAAGTTTCAAAAAAGGAAAACGGTTATCCATCCAGAATTTATTCTGGCCATTATATTACTGGAATATATATTTTACAACAAGTGTATTTTGGATGGATATAGTTGTATCAACTTTTTCTTTACTCCTTGAAAATGCTTGTTTTCAGCTTGTTTTGACTTCTGGACAGTTCTTACATTCTCACTGATGGTTACCACAACCTTTCTATATTGATCATATCTGCACATGACAATGTTAATGACATTTGAGACAGTGACAACATTTAAATTGAGTTCCATTTTATTCTCAGGTAAAGCAAATATTTAAGGGAATATGTTGCTCATGTCTGTGTAATTTACTGATACAGATGATTTATGAAGGATGAGCTGTATGTTTACCAACTATATCTGTTAGTCGTCAAAAAACTATGTTCAATGTGAAATATTATCATCTGAATCGTTCTGACAAAAAGTTTCTGAATTGTTCCAGACAACAAGCTTCTGCTTTGTTCTGACTGTTTCTGACAAAAAGCTTCTGAATTGATCTGACAAAAAGCTTCTGAATTGTTCCAGACAAAAAGCTTCCGAATTGTTCTGACTGTTTCTGACAAAAAGCTTCTGAATTGTTCTGTTTGTTTCTGACAAAAAGCCTCTGAATTGCTCAGACATTGTTTCAGACAAAAAGCCTTTGAATTGTTCTGACTCTTTCTGACAAAAAGCTTCTGAATGGCTCTGACATTGTTTAACACAAAAAGCCTTTGAATTGTTCTGATTGTTTCTGACAAAAAGCCTCTGAATTGCTCTGACATTGTTTCTGACAAAAAGCCTTTGAATTGTTCCGACAATGTTTCTGACAAAAAGCCTTTGAACTTGTCTGACTTTTTTCACAACAAGCTTCTGAATTGTTCTGACAAAATCCTCTAAAATGATCTGACAATAAGCCTCGAAATTTAAGTAAAAAACTATCTATTCTTTACAGGGTGGTAAATGGCATTGTTTACATATAGACGATCTTCGTCCCATTGCTAATATTGGTGCCAATTTGATGCAAATGAAGCAGAATTCTGTAGCAGTATTATTCAAGCGGGAGAAAGACATGGAAGATTCGCTTTATGAAAAAATGGTGGCCAGTCCATCTAGTGACAGTGGTTTGGAGCTGGAATCTATAAATATAAGTCTTGAAGATTCTGATGTTAGGAAAAATGATGGTTGTGACATGTATTTAACAGATGAATATTTTCATTCTAAAGTCGTGTCATGTATCCAAGCAGCTGTTGGTCGTGTGAAAGATAATAATGATACACTATCCAGACCAACTCAACGAGTTTCAATATTGATTACACTTCTTAAAGGTTAGATTTTTACTTGCAAGTTTTATCATTGCTTCCATATATTTATAAATTATCAGGTAAACCAATTTTGAAGTTTTTTCACCCATTCTGCTAGTCTATTCAGGTAAGAATCCATATTGTTGGGGAAGTCATCAGCCGTCGAGAACAAGTCCCAAATCTTGTACAATACTTAATGCCGTATTGTAAAAATTTCTCCACTCGTAATTCCTTTCCAAGGCATGACCACTCATATAACACCAATGTATTATTTGATTTAAAGGGGATTAAGAAATACTGAATGCTTAGTGCTATAATAATTAACAGAGTGTAAAACAATTGAAACATACCAGCCACCCAGTAAAAAAAAAAAATATGCATCTGAGGAGAAATTTTTTTAAATATTTTGCACATAAAACAAAATGATTTTGTAGTTGCTTATAAAGTATGCACTTCTTCTGGCTCTATGGGGTTCCAAAGTGATATGTAGATGTGATGGCCCAAAACAGAACAATAACACATCTGTATATCACGTCTGGTGAAGTAGGTAGAATTGTCTGTTTACTTTGTAATTACTGAACTTTGATGTGATTTGTAAAATTGAAATAATATTATAGATCATGGACATGAAAGTGAATTCAGTAAAGGAATAAGATCCATTGTAAGTCGGTTACTAATGGAGAAGGAGAATGAAAGAGGTGGTTCTCAAGTGTCTAGCAGGTGGCTAGTGTCTGAAGTTTGTAAATCAGATAAGATTCAAAAAACAGGAACCTTCAGGTCAGAATCTAATTTGTAGTTCTGTACATCCTATCTGTTTTCAAGCATTATTTTACTTATATGTTACTTTTTATGCAATTTGCAATGGTAAACAAGTAGTTGAAATTTGTGTTATATTAAATGAGTCATTCAATGTCAAGTGGACCAAGTTTTAGAACATTGTAAAAGTTATAAAAAATGTATGTTAAAGTACATAGTCTTAATCCAACCAATCCCAAATTTTAATTGAGATTAGATTTTCAAACCCTTCAAATGATAATAATACAATGCTCTAACTTTGTAGATTACGAATTTAGTATCATAAAATAGGTTGCGATTGGTCCTTATTGTCAAAATATCTAGGATTTTACATCTGGTTTGTTCTTTTTATTCAATTGTAAAAGAGCTTTGCAACTTTTCCATTATATTTTATGATATTATCTTATTACAGACGGGCTATTGGACAGTATTTTGAAGAAAAGATCACACCTATTCTGGCTGGAACTGTAGCCCTATTGGATAAGAATTTAAACATGGATATTATTAAAGAAACCAATGGATGGAAAGAGAAATTATGGTTAGATATCCTAAACAGAAACAACTTGTTAGATTTGAAATATTCAAATTTCATTTCAAGAGAAAATTCTGAAGTTTTGAATGAATTTGTTGTAAACAACACAGGCTATGGACAGAGATGTTTTCAATCTAGTTTTCCTTTTTCCTGGCTGTATGTTGATTTGATAGAGAAGACTTTGACATCTTTAGAGTATAAATCTGAAGATGAACAAGGTAAGTGCTTTAGAAATGAAATGAATGGAGTTTTACACCTTACCCTGGGAACAAAATAAGTGGTATGGCATCGCAGTTTGCGATACAATTTTCAGTTTTTTTGGGATACATAATATTTTTTCTAATAATAAATGAAAATTAACTCATTATAAAATTTGGTGTCTGAAGCAATGATCCGTTAATTTGTTGCACCTTTTAGTAAATTTCTCGAGGACTAAAAGTCGGCATAGAATCAAAGGAGGCATGATTGTTACTATAAATAGTATCGTAGTCAGAGATCATGCTAAATAAGGAATATTATACTGAAGTGGATAGCAGACGACATTTCGGAGAGATAGAGTAGAGCAGCTTGGATATGGCCTTCGTGGTGGAAACAAATACAACTCTCCTAATTGCGACAAAATGATAAAAACTTTAAATATCCATTTCCGTAAGAAAAACCGCACACCCGAGGTTTGAATATAATCGGTTGGTTTGAACTTTTCTCAATCGAGAATCATACTTGCGCGACCTTGAAAATTTAGAAATATAATGTCACGGGAATAAATATGACAAATGCAAGTATTTCATCACTTCAACAATAACATTGAAGATATCAGGAGTAAGAAAAGCCATTATTGAAGAAATATTATAAAAAGTAAACATGTAGGCCTGAGTGTGCATTATTTATGATGACAGATTTTTTAGATTTACTCAAGTGCCAAAAGGAATGTGCAAATACATTTGGAGTTTAAGGTCTACTTCTTTTGTATTTATATTTTCCACTGGTATTAAAATTGATAAAATCAAGAATTATATAATTCAGTGATACTATTCATAACTTTTATTAAACATTAAACAAATATTTTTAAAAAAGTGCTATACAATTTCAACTATCACAGAAGAAATCGCCCCTCAAAAGTTAAAAATGCTATTCAATTTTGGCCCAAAGAGCAAAAAACTGCTATGCATAATTTGTACCCTGTTACCGTAAGTGCTATAATAGAAGAGAAGTGCAAAATGTATAATGCATAACAATCATTGCATAAACTTTTTTTTATAAGGCTTAAATTAAATCCTATGAGATCTTTCTGAAAATAAGGAAATTAATCAAATTTTTGAGAGGATTGAAATTATATTGTGTGTCTGATTGGACAGAAATCATCTTGTGTGTTCGATAAGATAGAAATTATCTTGTGTGTTTGATAAGATAGAAATCATCTTGTGTGTTCGATAAGATAGAAATTATCTTGTGTGTTCGATAAGATAGAAATTATCTTGTGTGTCTGATTGGACAGAAATCATCTTGTGTGTTCGATAAGATAGAAATTATCTTGTGTGTTTGATAAGATAGAAATCATCTTGTGTGTTTGATAAGATAGAAATCATCTTGTGTGTTTGATAAGATAGAAATTATCTTGTGTGTTCGATAAGATAGAAATTATCTTGTGTGTCTGATAGGACAGAAATTATCTTGTGTGTTTGATAAGATAGAAATCATCTTGTGTGTTCGATAAGATAGAAATTATCTTGTGTGTTGATAAGATAGAAATTATCTTGAGTGTCAGATAGGACAGAAATTATCTTGTGTGTTTGATAAGATAGAAATCATCTTGTGTGTTCGATAAGATAGAAATTATCTTGTGTGTCTGATAGGACAGAAATTATCTTGTGTGTTTGATAAGATAGAAATTATCTTGTGTGTCTGATAGGACAGAAATTATCTTGTGTTTGATAAGATAGAAATTATCTTGTGTGTTCGATAAGATAGAAATTATCTTGTGTGTTCGATAAGATAGAAATTATCTTGTGTGTCTGATAAGATAGAAATCATCTTGTGTGTTCGATAAGATAGAAATTATCTTGTGTGTCTGATAGGACAGAAATTATCTTGTGTGTTTGATAAGATAGAAATTATCTTGTGTGTCTGATAGGACAGAAATTATCTTGTGTGTTCGATAAGATAGAAATTATCTTGTGTGTTCGATAAGATAGAAATTATCTTGTGTGTCTGATAGGACAGAAATTATCTTGTGTGTTTGATAAGATAGAAATCATCTTGTGTGTTCGATAAGATAGAAATTATCTTGTGTGTCTGATAGGACAGAAATTATCTTGTGTGTTTGATAAGATAGAAATTATCTTGTGTGTTTTCGATAAGATAGAAATTATCTTGTGTGTTCGAAAAGATAGAAATTATCTTGTGTGTCTGATAGGACAGAAATTATCTTGTGTTTTGATAAGATAGAAATTATCTTGTGTGTTCGATAAGATAGAAATTATCTTGTGTGTCTGATAGGACAGAAATTATCTTGTGCGTTTGATAGGACAGAAATTATCTTGTGTGTTCGATAAGACAGAAATTATCTTGTGTGTCTGATAGGATAGAAATTATCTTGTGTGTTCGATAAGATAGAAATTATCTTGTGTGTTCGATAAGATAGAAATTATCTTGTGTGTCTGATAGGACAGAAATTATCTTGTGTGTTTGATAAGATAGAAATCATCTTGTGTGTTTGATAAGATAGAAATTATCTTGTGTGTTTGATAAGATAGAAATTATCTTGTGTGTTTGATAAGATAGAAATTATCTTGTGTGTTCTATAAGATAGCAATTATCTTGTGTGTCTGATTGGAAAGGAATTATCTTGTGTATCTGAAACAAATTGTCTGGTTTATCTGTTGAGATCGAAATAAACTTTAGAGTCTGATTGGATTGATGTAATTATGTGTGAGGGTATAATTGAATAGACATGTTTGTGAGAGTATAATTAAATAGATATGTTTGTGAGGGTATAATTGAATAGATATGTTTGTGAGGGTATAATTGAATAGATATGTTTGTGAGGGTATAATTGAATAGACATGTTTGTGAGGGTATAATTGAATAGATATGTTTGTGAGGGTATAATTGAATAGACATGTTTGTGAGGGTATGTATGTAAAAATTATATTTATATATCTCATTGCTGTGTCTGTTTTTGTGTGATTCTAATTAATTACACAAAATTATCTTCATCTTTTTTAGGTGGTGACATTGTTAAACATGCATCTGACATTATAAATTGTGATCAAGAATTAGTTTCTCTTCTTACAAATATGAATATAACAGATGAAATAAAAAAAGACATGTACATATCTTATATCGGAGACTTTATTCAGATGAAGTATGGTAATTTCAATGAAAGTCTTCAAAAGGTAGGCTTATGTGGATGTGTATCAGTTTTCAACTGAATTTATTGAATTTTGATCGGAATTTTGAGGCTACAGTTTTTATACTCCCACATGGAAATGTGTAAATTCCAAATAACAATAAGAGTTGAACAAAACCAATCATGAAGATGATTGTGATCTCAGTTGTAAAAAACTATGAAGCTTTGACAGAATGAAGATAGGCTTTAAATAATTAAAACTTCAGTCAAAATAAACCATTTATTCCTCTAAAAACACACTTCCTCAGGGAGTTCAAAACCAACACAATTCAAATGTGGACATACATTGCCGTCGCCCCCGTCCATCCATCCATACAACATTTCTTTTATGCCTGATAGAGGCTACAGCTTTTATCTGATCTTGATGAAACTTAGTATGCATGTATATATTGAGATCTCGGTCATGTTCGAAATTAGTAATAATTGGATGAATAGTTTCAGAGTTATTGCCCTTGACTTAGTATAAACGCGTTAAATTTTGCTTGTATGCACGAGTTATTGACCTTGTTTGTGAAAATTTGTTGTGTACACAATAGAGAGCTGGTTTCTTAATGGATTTTGATAAAATTTTGTGTGAATCGTTGTTATAACTTCAGGTTGAACCTTATTGAAAATCTAGACAAATCGAAAAATATTTGAATTATTGCCCTTGTTCTTGAAAACGCGTTCAATTTTAATTTGAAAATGTGTTGTGACAGCTGGTTTCTTGATGGATTTTGATTCAGTTTAGTATCATTGTTTGTTCTCACCTAAGGATATACCCTAGTGAAAATCAGACAAATCGAAAAACATTTAATATGACTTATTGCCCTTGTCCTTGAAAACAATTCTGAATAGATTTTTAAAGAAACTTGGTTGAATCACCCTTTCCTTATTGAAAATTATTGCCCTTGACTTAATACAATGCGTCAAATTTGGCTTGTAGGCACAATAGACTAATTTTTATCTGATCTCGAGGAAACTTGGTATGCATGTATATATGGACAAGATCTCTCGTTGAATGGTTTTTGAGTTAGGAAAAAACGTGTCGTGATTTGTTTGTGAACACAATAAAGACTACAATTTTCATATTTGACGCTTTTTCGATCAACGGAATTTGAGTAATTGCCCTTGACTTAGTATAAACGCATCAAAATTTGTTGGCTTGTGAACATGATTGAGGTGACAATTTATGTCAGAATTTTTTGTTTTTTTGTTTAAATGAACAATATCTTGCACAAATTAGATGTTTGGTATGATTTGACACAGATTGGTGACTGCCCTTCATATACTGAAAATGTAACAGGGAAGTGGGCGTATCTTGCTAGGCAACCACTTGTTGATTTCGAGGTTGGGAGGGTTTTATTCCCCAAATATACAGGCCTAGGATGGAACAAATACTTCATTAAGAAAATGAAATTAATGGTCAGGAAATGCTAGGTATTTTCTTATGTTCTGACTTGAAATTAGATAAAATGATAATTCAACCAATTAATTATACAAAGGTACAAAATGATGGAAATTGATGGAGTAATTATCTTTTTAATTGTAGGTAATAATGGAACTATTGATTACTGCTTTAAATCAATGTGAATATTATGCTGAAAAAATGGATATTTGTGAGGTTTTGGTTGCTGTACATTATGTATATCTAATAACTAAAATTAGAATACAACAATTAATAGAGATAGCTTATATTTATCCTGATGTGATAGGAATTATTCAACAACAACTAGAGAAGAATGGTGGACATCCATTACTTGACAACAGAGTAATGGTAAGTATATTATAAAACAGAGTAATATTCTGATGTATGTTGAGAAATAGTAGATAAAACTTAAGATAACACGCCCACAGTCGAAACCAACAACCTAAAAATGAAATACAAAAATTTAACTATTCAAGAATTTATGAACATTTCAGATGGGATCAAGGTCTTAATAGAATTGAAACAATGCAGCTGGTAAAAAAGTAAATAAAAACAGAAAAAATATTCAAGTTCTGACGTAATATGTGTAAAAATCTACCTTCATCAGAGAAGAGACACAAAGAAATGTAAAAATTAAAATGAAAACAACCTGTTGATTCTATATTATGTCTCTCTGAATTTATAAGATTAATATGTATCAAAATTTTTAAGTGAGATAATGGGAGTTGATGTTAGATTTAGATCTTTTTTGGAATCTGCAGTAGCAGGGGTTTTCAACCTTTTTATACACCCACAAATAGTTTTGGAATTGTAATCAATCGATCTGTGGCTTGTGCTCACTCTACAGGTTGAAAACCCCTGCTGTAGATGTATGCCTTCTCATGTGACTGTTATTTTGTCAGTTTCCGAAAAAAAGGTTTTAATCTAAAAATATCATTTTTTGTTTCAACCTATTTAGACAATTGATGTCATGGCTCTGTCAATACTGTTAGAAAGTTTAGAACCAGAAAAAAAACAGTTGACTTCACCAGAAGGAAGAAAGGAATGGTTTGAAAGAGCATGTAAATATTTAACAGTTACTGAGAAAATCTTAGATAGTTCTGAAGAACAGAATGGACTAGAATATTCACCAATCTGTAAAGAATTCCTTCTGCGAATAAGGTATATTTAATTTCTGCCTTTTTGGATTATAGTAGTCAGTTCACAGCTCCAGTTTGTGGAGCTCAATTCAAGTTATCTATAACACTGTTTAGAATCCAACACATACTTCATTTACATTTTTTATACACATCATATGGGGGCTTATATTGGTGTCACCCATGTCAGTCTATCCTTCTGTGCTTCCGTTGGTCCGTCGACAATTGCTCGTAAACACTCTATAAGGCACAATTCTTGACGGATTTTGACGAAACTTGGTAAGAAAGTTTGTAATGACCCAAGGATGAACCCTATTGAAAATTTAAAAAATCGTAAAATACTTTGAATGAGTTTTTTCCCTTGATCTTGAATTGCTCGGAAACAACCTAGAAGGCAGAATTCTTAACAGAATTTGACGAAACTTTGTGTGAGTGTTTGTAATCACCCAAGAATGATCCCTGTTGAAATTCAGAAAAAACAATTCATGATTCTTGATTGATTAAAAGCGAACCTGTTAATTTTCATCCAAGGATGAAGTGTATGAAAAATAAAACAATTCAGAAAATCAAAAACATCAAATATTTTTGACAAAATGTTGATTTTTTGGCTCGAAAACAATCAAGAAGGGATTATATTTGACTGATTTTGATTAAACTTGGTGAAAATGTTATCATCTCACAAGGATAATCCTAATGAAGTAAAAAAAAAAAAAAATATTTGATATGAATTTCAGTCACTTTTTATACGCCTTTTTATATGCCTACATTATAATGTGGTTGTATATTGTAGTCGGTCCCCGTCTGTTCACATTTGGCTCATACTCACTCTTCAGGCTACAATTCTTTATGGATTCTTTTGATTTTTATTTTGTATGTCAATGTCATTATGAAGATGATCCATATCGATTTTTGTGATGATCTGATCATTTTTCACCCAAATATCATGTCTAACTTAGTGTTTTCACTCTTTTGCAAATCTTCAAACAACAAATCTTTTTTGATTTTTATATGCCCACACATAGTATGGAAGCATATTGTCATCCATCCGTCTGTTCTCAATTGGCTCACGCTCACCCTACAGGCAACAAACAATGATTTGTACTCGCAATCAAAGCTTCTGTTGGGCTAAGCAACGCTATCTTTTAAAAAAAAAAAAACATTCAGCTTCTAATTTGTATACATTCTACATAACACAATATATAACAGATTGTGATAAAATTTTGTGAAAAACGAATTTTTCTGTATAAGGGTTTGACCCTAAAAAAAATTACAGATTTTAAAAGAAATGTATGACTAAAGTTTAAAATTGATGTTGGTTGTTGTTCCATCAGATGTTCCAATTCCAACCAAGCCTGGCAAGCTATCTTTTTATATTGTCGTTGCCCCTGTCCATTCGTCCGTCTGTCCACAATTGGCTTGTAAACGCAATAGAGACAACAGTTTTTATCTGATTTGAATGAAATTTGGTGTGATCATTTATATTTATGAGATCTTGGACAAGTTCGAATTTGACGATCTTTTGATGAACGGTTTTTGAGTTATTGCCCTTGACTCATGAAAAATGCGTCAAAATTTGGTTGTGAACACATTAGAGACTAGTTTTCATCCAATTTCAATGAAATTTGGTGTGAATATTTATAATGATGAGATCTTGGACAGGTTCGAATTTCGATGAATGGTTTTTGAGTTATTGCCCTTGACTGAAAATTGCGTCAAAATTTGTTTGTGAACACAATAAAGACTACAGTTTCCATCCAATTTAAATGAAATTTGGTTAATATTTATAATAATGACGAGTTCAAATTTGGCTATCTTTCGATGAATGGTTTTTGAGTTATTGCTCTTGATTTATGAAAAACGCATCAAAATTTGGTTGTGAACACATTAGAGAGTACAGTTTTTATCCGATTTAAATGAAATTTGGTATGATCATTTATGATGATGAGATCTTAGTCAAGATTGAATTTGACAATTTTTCGATCAACGGAATTTGAGTTATTGCCTTTGAAAAAACGCATCAAAATTTGTTGGCGATAGAGGTGACAGTTTATGTCAGAATTAAATAATGTGTATATGTTTAAATCAACAATATCTTGCTCTAAATTAGATTTTTGGTATGATTTGACACAGATAGGAAAATGTATCAGGAAAGTGGGTGTATCTTGCTAGGCAACCTCTTGTTTTACTGTTAATAGCATATTTAGATTGTCATTTACTATAAGTTATATAATTGCAAATTGGCCTAAATATGTATATTACAGATGCTTGTGGACCAGAATAATGACTATAAAACTTTTCATAGAACATTTTTCATCTGAATCTAATAAGAAAACTGATCAATCTATAAGATGGCAAATGTTATGGATGGTAAGTAATAAAACATTATTGTAACTAAATTTATTAACCTTAATGTATTTATGCACCATAGCCAAGTGATTTTAGAACTGTATGTAAATAAATACGATAAAGGAATTAATAAAAAGTATTTTGATTCAATTTAGTGAACTTCGGTTTCTTGATGTTTTGTAAAATTTCAGCAATTGACAGAGAATGCTGACTTACACAAAATTGAATGTTTGCAAAAAGTTGAAAAATTCCTTAAAATGATAAATAGTTCAGTTTTGAAAAAGTTGTTAGGGTAAGTATGAGAACTTTGATTCTTTATAGATATTTTAATCAATATATAATTTTGTATTAAGCTATGAATTTTCGAAAGAAATGCTAGTAGTTGTTGACACTGATCATCTATCATGATTATCTTCAGATTGGAAGTATTTTTCATGTGGGAATCACTTAGGGTAAAGATTCATAATTTTGAAGGAAATCAATCATACATAACAATGACCTGTTTTAATGGGTATCCAAATACTCTGAAAAATACTCTGAATAGTTAATTTTGCTTTAAATATCTGGTGAATAACTACATTTAAATGCAAATAAACAATTCGGCCTCCCAAAAAGGCATTTTAAACCCTTAAAATATTTTCATTTTGTAGAGATATAGGAAAATGTTCAAAGTGTGGCAATCCATTTGAATCGACCCCACTGCAATTACCCTGCCAACATAAAGTATGTGATAGTTGCTATAATGATATTAGAAAAGATGTATATAAAGTTTGTCCTGAGTGTCAGAAAGTGATTCCTTCAGAATTTGATAATCAAATACAAAGGTCTAATGACAGGTGAGTTGTAAACTAAATGAGATAGTGTTAGAAATGATTATCTTTTAATTCAATTTGCTTAAAGATGGGTTTCCTTATTTTTTAGTGTCATATTAAGAAAACTATTTGATTAACTGGTGTTTCTAATGAATTGTCATGTATTCTTAATCATATCATTATGTTCTTATTGCATATAACCAATCATAAATATCTGTGTTTGTACGGTCTGGATAAACAAAAAAAGACTTTTTGACCTTTCTTGATCGGTCACTCATTGGAATTCTGGTATTTTTCTTATAATTGAGCTAATTATGAATTAAATGTGGAATTGTGAGACAAACTGGTATTTTTCCAAGTCATAAGAACACCTCTAGTTTCTATTCATATTATTAAAAGCATTAGCATTTTCATAAATGAAAATAAGGGGACCCATCTTTAAAGGGATTGACATGGAAATAGTCGTTTAGATGGGTAAAGAATGTGGCGGCTGTGCACTTGGAAGATCTCTTACAATTGGAAGTGAATTACTAGCCAGTCTAATTAAGATTAGACCAAACTTTTCGGGTTTTGTTTCATTCGCTTTTATTTTTAATATAACTAATTCAGTTATTGTCTAACTACAGCCTCTCTCCAGCGCTGGCATTTAATGACACGGTGCTTATCAGGTTAGGTCGCAAAGGTTTTTGAAGAACATTGAAGAGGGCTGTCGTTAGACTCTTACTGAAGTGGCCATTTTAAAAATAAAAACTAATAAAAAAAAGTAACCAATGTTTGGTAGCATAACTGTCTTGGCAAGAATTTTCATTACCTCAGAGTGGAGGACTTAAATGTTAAATCCCATTTTATTGCATTTATTTAAATTTAATTTGAATTTCTTTGTAAAATATATACCACGGTTTTTCACGTTAGGATGATTTTAATGAGTAAGACACATGGTATATATGACTTGAAACATGAATAAAATGATTGACAGTTTGAACTTATTACGGCATTGATCACATTACCGTTCTATCCAATGAAATAGAAGCTCATGCAAGTCAAAATTTTTGTTTTAAGAAGGGGTGGAGCTTCAGTCATGCATTAACATCACTATGAATATGTTGTAGCATATCTAAGCTCCACCTACTTTCCTCTAAGATTATTTTTGGCCTTCATATTCAGTTATCCAAGTATGGTACAACAACAAATTGCTGATAAGAAAGCATGGTTTTCCTCAAACACACATTTAAAGGAAAAAATGGAGTTTGTGTTACAAATAACTTGACTTTGTGAAGCCATTATCATTATTTGCTTGATGTTATAATTACTATTTTATATGACTCTTTTCCTTTCTTTCAGTGATGATCAAAATGAAATAAAAAACTTTCAAAGGAATTGTAACTCATTTTTGATGGCCTTGGTATCAAAACTGTGTTTCACATCAAATCAGCCTCCTGAACCTGCAGTGATAGAGAAGCTAATGGAATATATTGCTATAAATATACGTCCTACATCCACATCATCCACACATATACAGACCAAACCAATGAGTGTGTTCACTAATGTGATTGATCCCACACCAGTTTGTAGACTGTTCTTGTTAAAGTTGTTAGCAAAGAAAAGGTACTAAGATTTTTATGCACTTGCATCATTATACGCCCACATCTCTTTATGTGGACGTATATTGTCAGCACCCCCGTCCGTCGGTCCGTCCGTCAACATTTGCTTGTAAACGCTTTAAAAACTAGATTGTTTGATGGAATCAAATGAAATTGGGTATGTGTATATATATTCATAAAACGAAGATCAAGTTCGAATTTGAGCTATTTTCAACCGTTAGAAGCAGAGTTATTGCCCTTGCCCCAAATCTTGAATATGCTATTACTCTCTTAGTTTTCAACCGATTTTTATGAAACTTAAAATGGATGTTTCGTATTTACCATCCGCATGCCCTGGTGGGCGTATATGGCTGTGGTCCACTATCTTTTTTCTACTTTTGTCAAATTCTGCAATTACCTTATGCTCCACTGTATAAAACTTTATTCCAGATGCTTCCAGTTCTTTATTGTTATGTTAAAGGGATATTCTGCTTTTTTTGTGGGTCAAAAAGTTTTTTGCTCAAATTTGTGACAACTACACACCAAAATCTAGAGAAATGTGTCCCTTAAAGTATCTGAAAGTTTTAACTTCTATTTAAAAACATTACATAAACTTTTAAAGTTCGTTATGCTTTATGGAAGCTGTTATACAACTACTGTACGGATTTAAGTAAAATAAATGCCTAATTCTCTAAAGGTTTCAACCATTATAAAGCCAAACACCAAAACTACGTCAAACTGCTTAATTAACAATTAGTTCTGAATGATTTTAATTAACCTTTTTAAAAAAATACTCATAGATCAAACTTTAGAGTCCGATCACAATCCGATTTTTTTTTTTACTTTCTGTTTTTTCCACATTTCGACCCCAATCCGCTAAACACAGATCATAATATGATCAAGATATTATAATCACCCAAGAATGAGCCCTATTTAAAATCAGAAGAAGGTCATTGCAATGTTATCATTCCAATTTTTATACGCCCACATGAAATGGGGGGCGTATATTGCCGTCACCTATGTCCGTCCGTTTGTCCACAATTGCTCGTAAACACTCTACAAGACACAATTCTTAACGGATTTTGACAAAACTTGGTATGAGTGTTCGTAATCACCCAAGAATGAACCATATTGAAAATCAGAAGAATCGAAAAATATTTAGTATAAGTTATTGCCCTTGTTCTTGAAAACGCTTTCAAATTTTAGGTCGTAAACACTCTAGAAGGAACAATTCTTGATGGATTTTGACGAAACTTGACATGAGTGTTTGTTATCAACCATGGATAAACCCTATTGAAAATCAGAAAAATCGAAAAATATTTAGTATGAGTTATTGCCCTTGTTAGTGAAAACGCGTTCAATTTTTAGCTCGTAAACACTCTAGAAGGGATAATTGTTGACGGATTTTGACGAAACTTAAAATGAGTGTTTGCTATCACACAAGGATAAACCCTATTGAAAATCAGAAAAATCAAAAAATAATTAGTATGAGTTATTGCCCTTGCTATTGGAAACACGTTCAATTTTTAGCTCGTATTCACTCTAGAAGGCACAATTGTTGACAGATTTTGATGAAACTTGATGTGAATGTTCGTTATCACCCAAGGATGAACCCTATCGAAAATCAGAAGAATTGAAAAAATATTTAGTATGAGTTATTGCCCTTGTTCTGGAAAACGCTTTCAAATTTAGCTCTTAAACACTAAAAGGCATGATTCTTACTGGATTTTGACAAAACTTGGTTTTATTATTCAGCCCCGCGCTGAAGATTGAATATTTGCCTTCTAGAGTTTTTACGAGCTAAAAATTGATCAATATTATTCAGTATCGCCCTAAAGAGTTCAAAAAAAGTGTATGACTGAAGGTTGAATATTTCATACTGGTGATTGTTACTGTACTGCTAAATATTTTTATTCAAAATCAAAGCTGCCAGTGGGCATATATTAACTTGCCTGGCAAGCTATTTTTATTGTAATATCACTAACAAATTTGGTATCATAAGAATCTGACACTGAGAAATGTGACCAATATTTTACTCATCAATTATTGCCACCATTCAGGCAGTTTTATACTGGTTAGTATTTGAAACCATAATGTTACATTTCGCAATTTTCTGTCTGGTTGGTAGACAACAAATTTCCATTGTCCTTTACCTTAAATGTAGTGGCTTTACCATATCTTCCTTATTTCAGCCATTGAAGCAGATTTATCTCCTTCATACAAACTATGGGTGTTTTGAAACCTTGATGAGCAGCATCTACATTTCATATACTATATCTTTTATGTACAGTCATCATGTATCAAAATGTATGCATTGTTGCTAAATTGTTTCAGGTTTTTTGTGGTGTGCTCATGGCAATTTCTTTGATCTGGGCTCCATGCAGGAATCTATTGTAATAATAAATCCATTTAAAACAGGATACACAATTATTATTATAGCGGCCAAGATTAGTTCAACATACATAGATTTATCTGATAGTTGATGACTTTAAATTTTCTTTTAGTTTTGATGTAGTTGAAAGTTACCTCCAGAAATATTTTGAATATGCCCAACATGTAATAGAACAAGAGGCAGATGTACCAAAGAAACAACTTTTTGTTGAATTTTGTTTCCTAGTTTGCCAATGCTTAGAGGTCAGTTTCTCATTGTTTTTCTTTTATATCAGAATGCTGGTAAAACTCAATGATAGTTACATCAGAATATTAATCATTACATGTACATCTATCAGAGTCACTCTCTGACAGCATTGAAAATAACTGAACATTTTATTTTTGATAACAGAGTAATAACTTAGACTGAGGTTTGTTTTATTTAAAAAAATAAACATGGTGATGAAGCACAAGTTTTCTGGTAAAAGGCCAATAAATTAACACTTAACTAATTTTTCATATAAAGACTCAATAACAAATCATTTTCTATCGTGGGTAGGTACATCCAATAGAAGTTTTAAAAAAAACATCAATGAGGAAATACATTCTTTTTGCCCTTTCTGCTTAATATACATATATACATAAATAAATTCCAACATCAAACGTTTTCAAATCACTTGATATCTTTATTACAGGATATGTTGTATGAAAGAAGTTTAGACTCTGTTGACCAATATAAAGATGAAATACAGACAGCTACTCAGTATTTAGATAGAGCTGCGCTATACCTACTGGATAACTGTGAAGTAATTGGGAAGTTAAACCATATTTCAAGGTGCCGATTTGGTTTGGATATCACAGCAAAATACCTTAATATGTGTTGCAAAACAAAAAGAGTACCAAACGCAGATATGAAGAGACTTTTCAAAGCAGCTAAAGACGTGTTGAACATTGAACCTAACTGGATGTGGCCAAAGTAAGAAATACTTAAATATCCTTATGGGCTGCATTGATCTAAAATGTGTTGACTGTTTATCCGGTGGGTGAAATACTAATATATATTTTCATTGCTCTCGGCTGAGGGAAGTTGAAATCGGCTTGTTAGTTTAGAAATTTTCGACCAACAAAAAAAGCCGAATGTCCTTTTAAGTCATATCTTAGTTTATAAGTAAGTTAGTTACTTATACTAAGCTAAGAAGCTGAATTTAATTCATATAGGGGTTTTCAACCTGGAATTAAGTACCTCGTTCTATTCATTTTGTTCTATATTTTGCGACATTCAAGGATAAGGATAAGGATAAGGAAAATGTACAAAGAAATTGGATTAATAGTTGTTTGTTACTTTCAATTGAAATGAAAAGTCTGAAATTTCTTCAATAAAAAATTTCTGCCATGATAAGGCTGCCTGCTTCTTTAGGGTTATCAGGTGGTTGCTTGCTTGAATAAGGTCTAGTCAATGAGCCAATGGCTTATGACTTTCAGAGATTTAATGTTCACTGGCAAGCAGTACATATTCATGAAATAAATACAGAAAGCGTTGATATCACTCAGGACCCATTTGCAGTGCCAGTCACATAAATTTCTGATGATGATGACGAATGCCAGACGGAGATCCTGATTGTTCACAAAGACTCAAGTACAAATTAACCTTTAGAATGGGAATCAATTTCTTGATTCTGGATCTGGATGACCCTCATGACTGTGTTTGATGAAATTACACACACTGTGTTTAGTATTAACTTGATGAATGGCTGCCAATTTAATATTACTGAATATCATGACTAAATCACAGAATTCATGCAGGCGTTGTTTAATTGATCAGTATCCTGAAAGTGGTGATAGAAAGAAAAAGGTTGAAAACTCCTATTCCATGATATTGCTTTGTGTTTTGTAAAGATTCCAAAAAGATGACTATGTTTGACTTTTGTTACCATGAGAAGGGCTTGATATTGATATTATTATCGATGACAGGCTATTGATCAATTCTAAATACTAAATTAGTAGCATATTCAAATATTTAATTCCATTGGTTATTTCTGTGTCATTTAAGTTAATAATATGGATGGATTAATGGATTATTATAGTTTATTGTGGATAAGTTATGTGCTGAAGGGAAACTTTGATGAATAGTTTAGTAAATGACTGTCCTAACAACTGTTGTCTTATTTATGTTTCACCTTTTTATTCTTAACAAAATAATCTTCCTCATTTTTTTTAAAGGAAATACTTAATAAAGCAAATCTGTCGAATGTATGGAACAGATATTTATACCACACTCATGGATGATGATCAATTTAAATGGATTGGTTTTGAAAATAAAGAGGTTTGTTTTTTGTTGACGAAAAGAACTTTTGCTCAATTTTGGGCAACTAAATTACTTGAAATGCTTAGCAACATAAAAGTCAGATTGTTGTAAACATCCACATCTGTCAGTGCACAGTGTCAGTGTCTTTGTAGTGCACAAAGATGCGTATCCTTTAAGTGCTTGGAATTTGCATATTTCAGGTGTATATTGCTGCTGGATATAGCAGTGAGCTACATTTTTTATACGCCCACATATTGCCGTCACCCATGTCCATCCATCGGTCCATACGTCCGTCCACAATTGCTCGTAAACACTCTACAAGTCACAATTCTTGGCTGATTTCGATGAAACTCGGTATGGTTGTACCATGTAATCACCCAAGGATGAACCCTATTGAAAATCAGAAAGATCGAAAAATAATTAGTATGAGTTATTGCCCTTGTTCCTGAAAACGCGTTCAATTTTAGCTTGTAAACACTCTAGAAGGCACAATTCTTGATGGATTTTGACGAAACTTGGCATGAGTGTTTGTTATCACCCATGGATAAATCCTATTGAAAATCAGAAAAATTGAAAAATATTTAGTATGAGTTATTGCCCTTGTTCTTGAAAACGTGTTCAAATTTAGCTTGTAAACACTCTAAAAGGGACAATTCTTGACGGATTTTGGCAAATCTTGGTGTGAGTGTTCGTTATCACCCAAGGATGGACCCTATTGAAAATCAGAAGAATCGGAAAATATTGAGTATGAGTTATTGGACTTGTTCTTGAAAACTCGTTCAATTTGTAGCTCGTAAAAACTCTAGAAGGCATGATTCTTGCCAGATTTTGACAAAACTTGGTTTTATTATTCAGTACCGCACTGAAGATTGAATGTTTGTCTTCTAGAATTTTCACGAGCTAAAAATTGAACACGTTTTCAAGAACAAGGGCAATAACTCATACTCAATATTATTCAGTATCGCCCTAAAGAGTTCAAAAGAAGTGTATGACTAAAAGTTGAATATTTCATACTGGTGATTGTTACTGTTCTGCTAAATATTTTTATTCAAAATCAAAGCTGCCAGTGGGCGTATATTACCTTGCCTGGCAAGCTATCTTAATTACTTAATATGTCATAAACTCGCCAAAAATCCATCTGAACATGTCAATATAAATTACATGGTAAATGGCTATCAAGTTTATTAGATGAATTGAAGCAAAATGAGAACATAATTATTAATGGATGGAAAACGGTATTAAGAAGATAACTAAGTAATGAATAAAGCGAGCAGTTGTAGGCACATTTTATTTAATTTCCAGTTTTAAAATGCCTGGTTATATTTAAGTGGTCAAAGCTTATTAACAATGTTTGTAAGCAAATGAAAAATACTTCTATACAGAACAGATGTGATAGTTTGGTTTGTATAGATCATAAGTTCAGATTTCATTTATCAAGGACACTTTAGCCTTATGAAGCATTTTCTTATTGAAGTGTCTTTTCTGGTAAAATTTGATTTATCATTTGATTATATATTTTTTAAGCCTTTAGTTCAAGATAGATTTATAATATATGGTGAAAACTATCTAAATATTAGAAAACAGTTATCATTAGTTGATATGGGATCCAATGTTAAACAACTCAATGAGTTAAAGGTAACTTTTAAATTGATATTGAAGTGTACTTCTTATTATATTTGGAGATGCAAAAAACTCCAATAACTTGTTTTGCATATCTCTAGCACTATATCACCCAATAAATGTTCAAACCATCAGAGACTGATATGAGTCAGTTTAAAATGGAATGTTGGTTGGTTTAAAAGTGCACATGATTTTCAAAATTTCTCTTTGCAGGGGAAAGCTGACTGGGAAATCATGTTTGTAATGGCTCTTTTAAATAAAGTACCAACATTTCAAAGTCAGGTAATAACCTAACCATTAGTTGCTTTTAAAACAGATATTCAATATTCATGTTACATCAATTTGTAAAAATATTGACTGAGTTTTTCATACCAAAATACTATCATACTTAGATGTCAAGACTCACATCTTAAACTGTATTCCTATATCTTGCTGTTGATATATTGTTTATTTTCCTTGCAACCACCACCTTGTTGACAAAAGAACAATTATCAATTTTATTAAGCCTGAACTGATCTTTTAGAAAGGAAAATAAAAATTTTTATTTCTGTTTTTGAAAACCCTTCAAAAAATAATATTTCAATTTTGTATCAACAGAATCAAAGAAAATTACTTAGACATCATTTTCAACTGAAATCACTAGTTGAAATTTAAATATAGCGTCCACTTAATATACATGATTATGATATAATGTCATAGTTAATAAACAAAGCAATATGGATGGCATGTTACATTATTGAATTGGGCCACAAAATAATCTGTCTTTGGGCTAAAAATTTATCAGATGTCACAACAGAACAACAGAAAAGGATTACAGTTTTGCAATTTAATTGGCTTCATAGTCAATCTAAACACGAGTCTAGACTGACATCAAGTCATCTGCACTCATATTTCCAGTCAATTCAGCTGTAAATGACTATTGATAATCCAGGGAAGATCAAAGCCAGATGGTATAACTTCTTTTCCTTGTAATATATAGTTCTTTCTTTCTTTGTTAGATGAAAGAGTTGTGTATTTCTGAAGAAACTTTGATCTTTTTAAACAATGTTATGGATGCAAAGATCTGTGACCCTTTTCTATGTATATTCTTTAAATTTTTATACGCCCACATGGAAATGTGGACGTATATTGCTGGCACCCCTGTCCGTCTGTCCATCGGTTCACTTTTCTTGTAGGCACCATAGAGGCAATGGTAATAATCAGACGAAAGGTTTCAGAGTTATTGCCCTTGACTTATTAAAAATGTGTCAAATTTGGTTTCCAGGCATGATAGAGACTACAGTTTTTATCTGATCTTGATGAAACTTGGTATGCATGTATATATTGATGTGATCTCGGTCAAGTTCGAAATTGGTAATAATCAGATGAACTGTTCCAGAGTTATTTCCCTTAACTTAGTAAAAATGCGTCAAATTTGCCTTGTAGGCACGATAGAGACTACAGTTTTTATCTGATCTTGATGAAACTTGGTATGCATTTATATCTTGATAGGATCTCAGTCAAGTTCAAAATTGGTAATAATCGGATTAACTTTTTCAGAGTTATTGCCCTTGACTTATTAAAAATGGGTAAAATTTGCTTTATAGACACAATAGAGAATACAGTTCTAATGCGATCTTGATGATAGTTGGCATGCATGTATATATTGATAAGAAATTGGTAACAATCTGTTAAGAGGTTTCAGAGTTATTGTAAAAACGCTTCAAGTTCGGCTTGCAGGCATGATAGAGACTACAGTTTTTATCCAATCATGATAAAACTAGATAGGTATATATTAATGAGATCTCGGTCAAGTTTCAGAGTTATTGCCCTTGTGTGTACAGCGATGAGACATTGTTCATGTGTGAATTTGATGATGATTTGATGAAATGTTTTTGAAGTTTTGACTTGACTTATAAATATTTTTAGATTATTTGAAAATTCATTATTAAGCCACTAATGATTTTGTTATCATGTCTGACAGCTGGTAGTGGGTGTATGTTACCTTTCCTGGTAAGCTATCTTTTATTTAATTTATTAATTTGATGTTTATATTTAATTTAATTTAGATGTTTGAGAAACTGAAGCCATTTATAGAGAAGAATATGAAGAAAGAAAAAGACTTGAAAGTAAGCATTATGTACACATGTCGTAAACAACAGGTTAAACAAATAGACTACTGTAAATCTATTTAATAGCAAACTTTGTGAACAACAACTGGTTTTTATGAAATTAAGCTTAATGTGCTACTATGTTCTTAAGCAGAAGAAACTGTGCTCAGGACAAAGAAAAAAAAATTAAGCTTAAGATTCTACTCAAGATAAGGTTAAGCTGAGACATGAACTTATAATGGATCATGAAACGACTTAAGCAAATCTCAGCTATTGTCTTTATTCTGTTCTTATATGCCCACATATATATATTTCAAACGTTCAAAAAATATAATCTAAAATAAGAAAAACTAGGTAGTCTTAATGTGACAGGTGTGCCATTTTTTAGAAATAGAAATATGGTAACAATTCTTAGTTTGAAGTATTTTTAAAGGAATTACGAGATTTTCGTACATTTCCAGTACTTCTGAAGACTATTCTCTTATATTCAAGACTTACATCATTCCCCTAAAATGGCACATCCCTTTAAAGTACAACTTAATTTGAGAGTGCAAAGGCCCTCAGAATCTACTGTGGCTTCATAAAATTATGATCGTTCAATAGCCTAGGCTAATGAGGTTGCAGTGGGTCCAAAGGTCTAAGAAATTGTTCAATTAAATAGAAGACACACAAACCATTTGCTTAGTAACATGTATATATGTATCTAAGATTTTAAACTCTTGACTTTGAAAATAAATTTATCTTTAAAATGAATACTGATGGCTCATTTATCTTTAAATGAAATCATGGTGACTGTGACTGACTTGCTAAACTGACTGAAGTCTCAAGACCATCTTACTTTTTGTGATTTTTCACAACTTTTGCAGGTCGGAGCGGATGGCATAGAAAATGCTTTTTCCTTACAAAATTGTTTTCATTACATGGCATTGCATTAGCCTAATTTAGCTGAAATATTCCAGAGAGTTGTGATATAATATAAACTCTAATAATCAATGTATTGTAACAAATCCATATAAATATTTTATTTTATAGGAACTAGCACTAACAATATTGTCATCAGAACAGGGTTCTAGTCCATTATTCAGTGTAAGATGTACCAGTTTAGTTGAAACTAAGAATATAGAATACTTATTATGTCATTGGTTATTAGCATTAAAATCAACTCCAGAAAATACAATTCTACAACCATTAGTTAATTTAGTGTTTAATACAACGACTATGAGGGTAAGGAAAAGTTAAAACCTTATTGCATGCAAATGTGTAGCACTGTAGGAATATTTTTTCCTAATTCATTGAAATGATAGAGATGTTAATGAGAGTCATGTATTTATAGAAATTCATATATTTAGGAAAGGTAGTTGTTTATTTTGTGACTATTGAGGTAGTGAGATGAGAGTCATATATTTATAGAACCTCATATATCAAGATATTATTAATTGTATTAGTATGAGTTAATAGTATTTATAATTATACTAGATAAATAAATATCTGACTCTTAAGCCGCATTTACACTGGTGAGTCATCAAGTAGGCACCTGCTCTCCAGTCAGTGGATGCAAAATTCTCCAATTTTGTTTTCGAGACACAAAAAAATGAAATTTTATGTGCAAGCCATTGCAAACACGATGTATTCTATTATGACGCAACATATCATAGGGTCAAGGTTTTAGCATTAAGCCATGCCGTGCTGTGCTGTGTCTGAACCGAGACCAACTGTTCTTGCAGGACTGTGGCCGTATTTAGCTGTTGTGTCCGTCTGTCCGTCTGATTTGAAAATGAGACAAATCGAAAAATATTTAATATGATTTATTGCCCTTGTTCTTGAAAACGCGTTCAATTTATTGTGGACATGATAGAGAGCTAGTTTCTTGATGGATTTTGACAAAACTGAGAGTGAGAGTTTGTAATCATTCGTGGTTGAACAATATTGAAAATGTGGTGAAATTGTTAATTATGTCCCAATGATGTAAGAGATATTAAAAAAAACCTATACAGTATTTAATATGAGTTATTGCCCTTGTTCTTGAAAGCACTTTCAAGGTGCAATTCTAAACAGATTCTAAAGGTTGTATCACTTGAACCTTATTGAAAAGCAGAAAAAAATATTTAATATGGATTATTGCCCTTGTTCTTAAAAATGTGTTCAGTCTTTGGCTTGTAAAACTCCAGAAGACAAAACTCTGGACTGATTTAGACAAAACTTGTTGAAAAGTCTTTGTATAAAGCTTGTGCAGTATGAAAATGTTAATCTTGAAATATTTCATTTATTGATAGCTCTTGTCAACCGCCCGGATGACTTGGCTACCATTACAATGATAGGCGTATTACGATGAGCCATCGCTATTTTTCTGGTGAACCGTACTTGGTCCAGACTTGAAAAATTTGTGGCTGACTAAACGCAGCTGTAGTATTTTTTAAAAAAACTATCTGCTAGAAATTACGTTTAGTTTTCCTTTTTTTTAGGATTCCTTTCTGCCTACAATGCCTGAAGAAGATCGAGAAAATTTGAATTTACTTCATTCTGTATTGAAACAGAAAGAATCAACAGCTGTTGTTTACCGTAAGATAATTGTTTAACTTCTAACTATGTATGAAGCAGAGATGTTGATTTGGTTCTATTTCTTCGTCTCGACTGACAGGGCATCACAAATGACTGACGGTCAATATCCTCTAAAAATGAAAATAGAAATTAAATTACCAAACTTCATACAGTAAACAACCAGGTCTAGTCAATAAGCCACAAAACACTATCGGCCAGTTTAATTAGTTTAAGTAGTAATTAGTTGAGTTATTGCCATTGACTTTGTTAAAACGTGTCAAAGTTTGTTCGTGAGCACAATAGAAGCTACAGTTTTCAACCGATTCTGATGAAACTCGGTGTGATCATTGAAATTGATAAGATCTCGGACAAGATGTAACTTGACGCATTTTCGCTGAACGGTTTTTGAGTTACTGCCCTTGACTTTGTAAAAACGCGTCAAAATGTGTTTGTGAGCACTATAGAAGCTAAAGTATTCAACCAAATTTGATCAAACTTGTTATGATCATTGGAATTGATAAGATCTCGGACAAGTTCTAACTTAAGGCATTTTTAATGAACGCTTTCGGAGTTATTGACCTTGACTTTGTAAAACGCTTCAAAATTTGTTTGTGAGCACAATAGAAGCTTCAGTTTTCGACCGATTTTGATGAAAATTGGTGTGATCAATGGGATTGATAAGATCTCGGACAAGTTCTAACTTGACGCATTTTCAATGAACAGTTTGTGAGTTATAGCCCTTGACTTATGAAAAACGTGTCAAAATTTGTTTGTGAGCACAATAGACGCTATAGTTTTCAACCGATTTTGACTTGGTGTGATCATTGGAATTGACGAGATCTTGGACATGTTCTAACTTGAGATATTTTTGATGAAAATTTTGTGACTTATTGCCCTTGACTTTGTAAACACGCGTCAAAAGTTGTTTTTTGCCCTTGATTAGAGCTGTGTGATTTAATTGTTTGTTGTATTTGGGTTATTGATATTGATTTTAAACAATTTTGTGCAATTACTCAGCATAAATAACTGGCATATATATATATATATGTAATTGAATTCAAACTAATAAAATTTCTTCAATATGAGAAACTTCATACTTTAGTCACTAAAGACTGTTTTATCATTTCTGACAGCTGCCAGTGGGCGTATGTTACCTTGCCTCGCAAGCTATCTTGATTGTAATGTAGGAACAATGCCAATTGATTTTAATTTGGATTAGATAATTTCTCACTGATTTCCTGTAAATCATTTAAGCATTAGACTTCTATAAACAAGATTCCCAAATGCCAAGATAATGTCAGATAAAGATAATATCCTTTTATACGTTAATTATTTGAAAGACGGTTCTTTGAAGACTAAGTTTTTTAAATGTAAATAAAATATATGGGGAATAAAGGTGGCGTTGCAGCCCTGTTGAAAGAGAGGTCTCCCTTCCTAATTAGATAGAAGTTCATTGTGTTACCTATTGACTCGTCCTTGCCATTGTGACGTTGCTAAGAATATACCAGAGATAGCAAAGTACTAATTCATGCTCAACACACTTACCACTTTTTTCCGCGGGTCCCCGAAAACACTATCCAAATTGAAGGTCTGGCAGGACGATTTGGACCAACCTAAGTTTAAACCATGCAAGGCCCATAATTTGGTGGTTATTGATGATGCAAACCATCGATAACATAGTCAAGGCCTTGCCTGCCTAGTTGAAAATGTTGGAAGAATCGTATGATTATGATATTACAACAATCTTTGTGATTTGAGTCAGTGATCATGGTTTTCATCATTTATGTTAAACAAGTTCCAATTTGACAATTTTTTAATTGAAGGTGTCAAAATTGGTTAGTAAGCACAATAGAAACAATTGATTCAAATGAAATTTGGTCTGATTATTTATATTGATGAAATCTTGAATAATTTGTCAATTTATCATTATTACCCTTGACTTAAAATGCAAAGAACATTTTCTGAATATTGAAATGATATTTAAAGATTTATCATTATGCTTCATTTTTCTTTTAATTGAATCGAAAATTTATAAACCCGCTGTGTGGGCTTATGTTATATTGCTTGGCAAGCCATCTTCTGATGACTGTATAATTTAGTTGTATAAACTCATGATATATTGTATTACTAAAATTTCAGGTTGCCCAAACGGACATCCTTATGTTATTGGAGATGTAAGTAAAAGATATAATTATAAATATCCTTAGATATGACAGATTTTGACAAAACTTAGGGTTTATTATGTTTATTGTATTTGACAATACTTTTTATCTCGTATCTTTATCTAGAGGGCACAATTCTTAAGATTTAGACCTAACTAAGTGAAATTGTTTATTATCACCCAAGAATAAAAACTATTGAGAATCTAAAAAATTGCCCTTTTTCTTGAAAATTTTTTCAATTTTTATCTTGTAATCGCTTAAAAAAGCACAATTATTGATGGATTTTGACAAAATATGGTGTTTATTATCACCTATGGATGAACCCCATTGAAAATCAAAAACATTTGAAAAAATATGCAATGTGAGTTTTTGCCCTTGCACTTGAAAACGCATTCAATTCTAGAAGGTACATATTGACAGAAAACTAAACTAACTAAAAACCACATGGAATTGAGTGGATGTGGATGTTTTTTTGTTGTTGCCCCTTAAAACTGTCAGTCAACATCTCTTGCAAAGACAATAGAGGCTTCAAAATAAGATTGAGATTTTGGATGAGTTGGATGTCAACTCAATGTCAAAGATCAAGTGCCAAAGTGGAAGTATTTGTATGTGATCTACTGTCTTTTTCAGTGTGGAAGACCATATACAAAATCGAAGTGTAATGAATGTGCACAAGATATAGGTGGTCAATCTCATAATGCATTGGCTCGTAATGTCTTAGATTCAGGGTAAGAAGATTTGTTTTCATTATATAGTAGTCATTTTATATGCAAACAGTACTTTGTGGTTGAACAATCAAAAAAAGAAAAATTAAAGGATTCCAATATGTTTCAAGAGATCAAAGGCCACCTTCCTCAGATGTCATTTACCTTGGTAGTTTTTATACGCCCACATGAGTATGTGGTCGTATATTGTCGTCGCCTCGGTCCGTCCGTCCGTCTGTCAACATTTCTTGTGAGCACTATAGAGACTACAGTTTTAATCTGATTTTGATAAAACTTGGTGTGATGC